ATATTATAGTCAAATTTTACAAATTTTAATCAGAAAAATCAAATGACTAGAACATAAGGAGTATAAGAATCGCACGCCATCTGTTTTTTTTGCCAAAATTTATGCAAGTATTAAACTAGAGACTCGTTTTGAATTAAAAAAACAAATTTAAATTTAACTAAAATGGGAGTCACGCTCCAAAAAAGTTGGAAGGTAAGCAACAATACCGGCTTTATAGCCTCAAAAAAAGAAGAAAAAATCTAGGAAAATCTCAAGTTAGTATGCTCCAAATGTACACCAGCTTCTCACAGAAACACACAGACATCTGTCGTCGTATTTTACACAGACAACCAACTCGGGATATCCGTAGCAAACCCCAAAAATAAAACAATGGTTTAATTTTGTGGGTGTGGGCCATGTGGTCTAGCAACCCCAACCACTCACAAGAAATGGAGAGTCTGGATGGATAAAGGGTACGTGGAATGAACAAAGAATGGAGCTGAGTACGGGTAATAATTTATTAGCCCAAGCCCACCCACAAATAAAATCAGAATCTTAACTATTACTTGGTCCGTCCCTGAGTGTTTGTCCACTTTTGACCTTTGGAACTGTTCATCTAAACATTTTGACTCGTCAAATTCTCTCAATGTGTAAGCCTAAAAATAGTCATGTGTGATCTTATTTGATTCGTCTTAACATATAGATTATTAATATATAATTTTTATAATTTTTTAATATACAAATTACAAGATAAAATGGATTAAAGAAGTGCATTGGATGGTGTGCAAAAATGAAAGTGGACAAACACTCAGGGACGGAGGGAGTATTTGTTTTGATTAATTGCACTTCTTCCATTTCGAAAAAGTTTTCTATACTTCGACTTTTTGGTCACTTTTCCACACTTGAATCATTACTTATACTATTTAAATAGTCAAACTTTATAGATATTACTTCCTCTGTCCCCAATTTGATTACATATTGCGGGTTACGGAGTACAATTTCCTACGTTTTAAATTCATTTTATTTACAAATTGGTATATCAATAAGATATAAAAACTACATATTAAAAAACTACGTCAAAAATTCTACAAAACTAGAAGTGACAATAATATTTTATTTTATCAAATGCTTAATGAAATTGCGTAAACAAATAAAAGTTATCGAGAGGAGAGAGAAAAAAAATTATACTCCGTAATCTGTTTAGGGACGGAGAGAGTATTTCTTTATTCTCGTTACTCGTTTAATAATATAATATAATCATGTCACCTTTAGTTTTCTAGATTTTTTAATGTAGACTTCTAACATATAATTTTTAATTTTTTTATGCATGCAATCAAATAAATTAAATAAAAGATATCATAATTGATTTCTATCAACAAAAAAAATACTCGAAGTAATTTGTTGGGTCTCCGTATGTTGGATAAACGTGACATTAAAGCATATAGTGGATGGGCTTTTGGAATATGGGCTCTTCCTTATAAAAACTGAATACTAGCCCACGTTTCTCACACGGCGTAGTTCTCTTACATTACGGAATATTTATTTCCCCGGTGGAAGCCCAATGCCACGAGTCCATGGGTGCCCACTAACACAATGGTAGAGCACATTCCATTCCATAACAATTTCATTTCAATTGAGTGGTGTTTCTCTTTGTTTTAAGTTGTCAAAATTTCTTGTAAATTGTCTCTAAATTTAAGTTAACTAATGACTTATTTCTGTGTGATTATAAATTGATTTATAAATTGTTTATAAGTTAAAAAAATAAATAGATAAGTTATATTTAAACTAGTGTTTTTGTTCCTCTATTTTGATCAGACTATTTATTTCCATCACCATCTATAAATATTTCTAAATGAGTTATCTATCATTTAAGTTGTTTTATTTCCTTGAAAAATATCTAACTTATAAGTAGTTTATAATTTAAAGACTCTTTATGAGTAATGATCCAAGAAACATTAACACATGGAAACACCCTGAAAATAAAATTTTCTCCAATAACAAGGCGGTGTGTGATGCTTGAAAATCTTTTGAAACAACCCTCTAACTTCCAAACTCAAGCTTCTCCACACCTAGTGTTTGAGTCTCGCCAAAGCGCTAAATAAGTTGGGATCATAAGAATGATATGGATTTATTCTCTGTTATTTATATTCTAATTATTCAAGACTATATTTGATTTTTAAATTTTAGTTACATGAATTTAGACTTCAAACTCCAATATATAAATTTTATTTAAAATTATTATTTTTTGAACACTAATAACTCTATTACAATTTAATATTTGTTAATACAATGTCATATGTAACTAAATATGATGCCTTTTCTTTTATACACTTACATATTTTATTCAGATCAAATCAGATTCATTCAGATATGATCTGATCAGCCTTAAAAAATTCAAATCAGATCAGCCGAAAAAGCGCAACCTCACTATTGCTCTATAGAAATGATCAAATGTAGTTACGTTATATTTTCAATATTATTCTTTATTTAGCTAAATTTATGCCTATTTAGATTGTTTGGGTATATTTAAGATCATACTTTAAATAATTCAAAACCATAAATCTGACAATTTTTAAAGGAGAAAGAAAAAGGAAACACCATAAATATGAATAAAACATAAAGAAAATACCAAAATAGGAATTCTAAGTTTTTTCCTAAATAAGAGTTTGCAATGTAATAAACTGACATTGTACATGAACATTTTACTATATTTTTTGGTAATGCATATTAACTTCTATTTCGTAAATAAAAAAATGGAGCTTCTATTTCAGTATATTATCAATATTTTACTTCTATTTTAGTATTTTTCTCGAGAAAAAAATGAGAAAGACATTGTGTTGAGACGAGAGAGCATACGTAACTTGTAATACGAAGTTTTAATATGGAGTATGTTCATTTAAGTATTGTCAATTGTCAAGTATTAACACTCTCTTGTATTTCTCCCAAAGTATTTTACACTTTACACAAAATAAAATGAAATTCTAAGTTTTTTTCAAATTAAATTTGTTTTATTTGTAGGATGGTAAAGTAATTAAAAATAAGATTTACATATTTAAAAACTGCGTCAAAAGTTAAACAAACGTGAGATGACAAGAATATATTATTTTACCAAATAATCAATCAAAACACATAAATAAACAAAAGTTTTTTTAATTTTTGAATAATAAAAAGTGTAATTCTTTTTTGGACAGAGGTAGTATTACCCCCATCCCTATTTTCAGTATTTTGATTACAAATTACAGAATAAAAATCTCAAATTTTTTCAATTCATTTATTTAAAAATTGAGACATAAATTAAATATAAAATTTGCGTATTTAAAAATTACATCAAAAGTTTTGCAAACAAGTGACAAAAATATTTTATTTTATAAAATAATCAATATAAATGGACAAAAAAACAAAAAATTATCATGATTTTAGAATAGGAAATATTGTAATCAATAGTGGGACGGATTGAATATATATTTCTTCCATTCTATGTTAACTGTATAATAACACATTTTAAGTACAATGAAAATAAATATAAATAAACATAAAATCCATCTACATTTGTTCATTTTTAATCTATTAAGAAAATCATAATAAACAGTTAATATGGAATGAATGGAGTATTGTAATTCAAGAATAAAAAGTCTAACATTCTATCTAAATTGGAACATATGATTTGTTATATGACCACGTATTTAAGAGACATTGGTCTTGTTTGGCAACAGAGTTTTTGCTTTGCGTTAGTGTTTTGGATAAAATTTTAATGATGTAAATTAATTTTGAAAATACTAACGTTAAAGGCTATCGTCGAATAACCTTTTCAAAATGCTAACGCTTATCTCTAACGCTGATAACAAACGGGACCCTTTATTTAAGATAAAGTAATACTCCGTATTATCTGTTAACTAATAAAACATACTCCGTATCATTATTTTTTTAAATATGGGCTGGACATTAAACCAGATGAACACGGTTACGTACAAATATCTCAATTATATACGTGTGTGAACTTAGCCAATTTATATTAGAAAACACGATGCAATATAATTATTTCCTTCATTCAAAGTTTATAAAAATTTTATGATTACAGTTTATTTAAACAAGACAGACAATGTTGTAATTTGCACATTTATTACTAAAATAAAACATAAAAGAGATAAACGTGTTTTGAAATTTTTAAAAAAGAAAATGAGTAAATTCATTGAAGAAGTAATTCCAAGGGCGAGTTAGTGACCTACTACTAAAACGTTCGATATGATCAATATATAATTAAATTTAAAGTTATTTTTTATCAGATTTGATAAACTTTGATCTGATTTGGTTTTAATATAATGAGAATAAATTATGCATAATATTGTAAGTAATAAAAATGAGTTAAAGAAACTATAATAACTTCAGTGTTATATTATAACACTGATTCAAATAACCCAACCGACAATACTTAAAAGTTTAAATCGTGAATCAATTCAAAGCACAAGGCTCATGACAGGCAAATCCTTAGTAAACAAGTGGTCTAGTTTCAAATACTCGGAGATATTTAGTTACAAGTGCATGCTTCTAGATCGGTCGACTCGTCTACTAAACCAGATGCGCTTGTAGTTAAAAAGTTGGATCAATGCCCGTCTCGTTCAATAAAATACAACATTCATCCGCCATATTACGTTTTTTCTGTTTAATTTTTTATTATTAATTTGGATAAATTTCGATTCTCAATTAAATAATAAAAATAATTGCATTAAATTTATCTTATTAATAACTTTCAGAATGTCATTCCATTATATTATTATGTAATATAATTAAAGTATAATTAATTTTCAATATCTAGTTCGATTTAAAAGAATTAAATCGAATGAATACTAAAATAAATAAGAAAAACATGATATATTAACCTCACCGCTTTACAAATCTTATAAAGTTTGCAAGAGTTGAATTAAAGGTGAAGTTTCAATTTTTGGGGTCAAAATAGCACGGTTCCATAAATAATGGGGAGAGTATATTTAATTACATTTAGGGAGAATAAAAAATGGAAAACAGGTGTCCATCTCATCTCTTCCCCCCTGCTTCCAACTTTCCCCTTTCACCCACTCAAATTAATCTTCTTTCACATTGCTTTTGCATAAACCTCCAAACGGAAACTACCGTCTCCGCGTCGTCGTCCTCTTCACGGAGACAAATCCCTTTTCCTTCCAAATCTCTGCTTTTTCCCATTTCATTTTTCTTGTCTTTCTTATACAAGTACCTCTCTCTCTCTCTCTCTCTCTGCAGCCCTAATGCAATAAAAACACAGTAATTCGAATAAACTTCGGGGGAAAAAGGTGAGTTCGAGCCCCTTTTTGATTGTTTTTTTCATCTTTCTATCTGCTTTGTCCTCTGATTTGTTCGATTAATATTAATTTCTGTCTCATTTCACGAATCTTTCAGGAACTGCGATGGTTTTATTCCGAGGTTAGCCTTCCGTGCCTGTCTGATCTGAGGTAAACTTCCATTTTCCCGATTTATAATCCCATGATTAAATCCAATTGCTTCCCGATTATATTCTTATTTTTCATTTCACTGATGACGATTTGCTCCCCCACGATACACCGTGTTTTTAATTTTAAACAATTATGCTTCGAGACCACCTTTGCCCTCCAATTTTTTTAAAATTGCATCATTTACCCCAAACATTTAAAAGTACACCAGCTACTTCTGAACAATGTAAAACGCTGGCCTGTCTAAAGTGCTAGATAGGGATTTCATCTGGCTCTTGTGAATTCTTCAAAGTACTCATACCCAAAATTATCGTCTTTATTTAAATGTGCGAGGATAAATCGTGCAATTTCTGAAGAGTTCAGGGTTATTTGGTGTACTTTTTAACGTAATTTTTGAAGAATTCAGGAATATTTGATACACTTTTTTAATGTTCCCGAATTTCTAAAGAATTCGGGAATAAAAAGAGTGCACTTTCCGGATTGTTGATTTTAGCCTATTTATTTCTAGATGATTGTTTTTATTGTTAGGCAAATTCGTAGGCAAATGATGAGTATAAAACATTATAATTTATTTTTTTATTCGTCCGTGAATATTTCATTTTGAACAAATCAAAAATACAGGTGAAAATGTAAAACATTTTAAACTGTCCGTCCGGTTTTAAAACAAAGCGGCGTGTATATAGCTGGAGGAAAGATGTGGTCGAATAGTTGGTGCGTGTTCCTCGTCGCCTTCTGCGATTGTAACACGTGTCCATGTCAAAAAAATCGGTGTGACCTTGCTGGCCCATTCCTTTGAGGGCCCAATAAATTAGTCAACCCATCTTTGTTTACTCTGTATCTTTGGTTGAGTTGATATTTAATTTAATAATATATTTAATCAATGATACCTTATGAAATTTCAAAATATATTCTATATATATTTAAAAATTGTGTCAAATTCTTTTATAAATCAAGATGTGACATAACTATATTATCCTAATATATGATTAACAAAAATAAGTTGAAAAAAAGTTTGACCGATAAATAATGAAGTGAAAGGATTAATTTGAGGCGGAGTGACGTTCATTGCAATGCTAATAAATGTTGGACTGGGCCTTTCATTTTATCAATTTTTTAAAGGCTGCCCCTAACTTTGAGTTGTGGGCATCCAATTATCAATCCCACCTTCCTTCTTTCGAAGCTCCGAAATAAAGTGTAAACGTTTTCACTCGCTCGATTACGAAATGAATATGCTCGACTTATATAATTTGTCTCTTCTAATTGCATTTCAATCACGAGTTTTCTGAGTTATACTTGATACGTGAACTTTTCACATTTTTCATGGCTTGCATGTGGATATTTTGTTTTTTTTAAAAGGCTCAATTCAAAAGAATTTGCCTTCAGTCACTCGTATCTCACCTTTCAATATTTTTCGAATAACTCTTTGAGGTCAAAGTGTAAACTTTATTTTGGAATGAAATGGTGAGATATTAGCAAATCTGCTTGACATTAGCAAATGCCAAATGCTGTTAGAGTTACTGTTTTTCACATTAATAAACCTTAGTGATTGAGTTACCCCTGTTGGGGAAGAACGGAACAAAACACAACGGAAGCGTATAAAATCTTTTCCCCAAATTAATAAGATGAACAACAAAGCACAATATACTCTAGAAATCAGCACCACCACCACAAATAAATAGCAACGGAAATAAAATAAAGAACACACGATTTACGTGGAAACCCCAAATCAGGGAGAAAACCACGGCCGCTCAACAACGGCACCCAAACTTCCACTAATCACCAAGAACCAAGTGGGTACAACAAGTTCTCCTCTCTAGTAAACACTAGAGACATACACAATCATCAAGGAGCAACCTTGGAACAACAACAATCAACAATTCAACATAAAATGGAGTAAAAACTCCCAAAAACGCAGGTCTGAAAACGCAGCTAGAAAACAGCCTTCCGGGCATCAAAATGAGAATCTGACCGTTGGATTTGAAGAGGAGTATGTGAGGAACAACATACTAAAATTTGAGCACGATTGGACTTCGTTTGGCCTTCGATCCGGAGGTGAAAAGTTGCTGCTGTAGAGAGTGGCGGAAATCCTTTTTTTCTTCTCTCTTCCTGCGTTAGCTACTGCCCATTCTTCACCTCTTCTTTTTCTTTCTTTCTCCCTTATCCCTTTCTCTCTTTTTTTTTCTTTTCATTTATTTAGTATATGGGCCACCATAAAATATTTGGGCTAAAACTTTACACACAAAAAATAAGCCCAAAACAAAAGAGAGATATAATGTGTTGTTCAATTAAAATTGAACACTTCCTCCATGTAGGAGGGAAATTTCCCAACAACCCCTACGTCAAAATAAGCACGGACACGGTTCGGTTCCGGCTCCCGTGGTGGAATCTTAACAAGAACTGGGGATGGGTGGTCTGACCAGTTCCAAGTTTTTCCTCGAAAAAATATTACGGAGTATGTATTTTACTCCATACTACTTCATATTTTTTGTATTTAAACATTGTAAATCAACCTTAAACAGATTCGGAATTGGCATTAAAAAAATAAGATAAAATAAAAACAGAACAGACCGGAACCGGCGGTTCCGGTTCCCAAAATGGAGGAACCTTAACTAGAACTCTTCCCCGCTGGTTCGGTTTCAGAATCCTTCTCACCGTTTCCCCGATTTTGAAGGGGAACCCTTTCGGCCTTTCCACCCCCAAGCCTTAATGTGATTGTCATTTATTTCCTTCTCCTTGGCCGTGTGTTAAAGAGAAGGTATAGTATTAACTAAACTATGTAAATTATTAAATCCAACGAAATCTTCTTGGCCCTTATTGTTAAAGTAAAAAAACTTATCGTGGGCGACAACCACAAGTTTGAGCTTTTAAATTGAGTAGTTCCTTGACACTAATAATGAAATTTTATACACTAACCTTTGAAACTTTAAACAACTAATAATGAAAAGCAGTTGCACTGATAATATAAGATTTTCACATCATTTGCATATTTTCTCATTTGACCATCCTTTGAGATTTATGAAGGATAAATGTAGTAATGTGAGATCTTGTCCAATTTGTGCTAATACACACTATTAAGAAGTATTCTTATTACTACTAGTGGTCAGTGTTCATTAATTAATAATGTGGTATATCTTTGGCTGATAGATACATATTGAATCAAGAGCTTTTGGGGGCGAAAAACGAGTACTGCCAGATGGCGTCGAAGAAGTCGAGCAAAATCATGAGGAGGCTGGAATCAAAAAAATCACATTCCTGGTGGTGGGATAGCCACATTAGCCCCAAAAACTCCAAGTGGCTTCAAGAAAATCTCGAGCGTATGTCACTATGCTTTCTTATTGTTTTATGCTTAATATATCGATATATAATAACATCATTGTTTTGTTTTATAATTGTGTGTGCAGTCTTTTTTTTGGATATTCTTTTTCCCAACCTTTGTATTTTATGTGGCCTTCTTCATTGCAAAATGCTTGACCTTTCACTTTTGAATTTGAGTGTTTGATTGTAAGTATGAGTTGATAAATGTGATCCATTCCTCAAAAAGAGGGGTAATGTGTTGTTGTCATTTCTTCTCTAGAAAACATGCAAAACAACAAAAAAAAATTGATTGTTATTTCGAATGTTGATGATCCAACGTGACCGCGATTAAACGGATAGAATGACTAACCAGAAAATGACCAAAAGATCCCTGGTTTCAGAGATGGACCAGAACATTAAGCGGATGCTGAAGCTGATCGAAGAAGATGGCGACTCGTTCGCGAAGAAGGCAGAAATGTATTACCAGAAGAGGCCAGAGCTGATCAACCTCGTCGAGGACTTCTACCGCATGTACCGGTCTTTGGCCGAACGCTACGACAATGTCACCGGAGAACTTCGCAAAAACATTCCCTCCGATCTCCAATCCCAAGGCTCCGGCGTTTCGAGTGCCGGTTCCGAACCTACTTCTTCTCTGCCTTCTCCTCGTCACAAATCCGGCGGGCCCCGCGCCGCCGGATTTGGGATCTTCCTCGGAGGTGGTGGCGGAAACGTCTCGCCGGACAAGGAGGGGGACGAGTCTTCGGTGTTGGATTCTGAGTCGGAATCCGACGATTCTTCCTCCGTCAACAATTATCCGAGCCCTCTCGGCCATGATGGGGACCATGGCTTCTGCGAGGTCAAGGAAAAGGTCGATTCAAGACCGATAGAGGTTCACGATGATTTAGAAGCAGAAGTTGTGGACCCCGCCGAGTTTAAAAAGATCCAAACGCTCGAGGACGAGCTGAGGATCGCTAAAGAAAAACTGCATGTTTCAGATGAAGAGATAAATAGCCTAAGAAACGAGCTCAAGAGGAACGAGAACTTAACGATGCAATTGCAGAAAGACGTGTCTGTTTGGACAGCCAAATTTGAAAAGGAGAAAAAAGAGGTCTCCAAACTACATGACCGGATCGCAAGGTATACTAATTGTTACTCCATTCTGTATTAAGTGTTCGTTATGGTTGTTAAGATACATTAAAAACTGAATGAATGTAGACACCGTTTTTGTCTACATTCATTCATTTTTGAATGTATCATAGACACGGAGTAATATGGAATGAACGGAGTAGATTATAAAAACGTTCATGGGCTTTTCACCAAAAGCTTGAGCTTTTGGTTGAGTTGGTTCCTTAACTGATGCCTCCTTGTCGTATGCTTTACAATGATTCTCCAATCACTTGTAATTTTATTTACTAGGTACAAGACAAATCTATCAGAAAGAGACCAGGAAATCCGAGGATTGAAGGAATCAATATCCAACTCGAACAAGGCCTTATCGGAGGAGAACTTGCAGCTTCAAGAGGAAATCAAGAAACTGTTGAAGGAAAGGGCATTCCTGGAAGACAACGCGAAAGAAATGGACGTCCGGTGCCAATGCCTAGAGGAGGAGGCGAAAAGGGCTTTAGCTGGAAAATCAGAAATGGAAGCTCTGCTCGGCTCCGAGATCGAACAGTTACAATCAACCATTGTAGAGAGAAATGGATGCGTGGAAGAATTAAAATCAATGAACAACGAGCTCAACGACGAGATTGATGAGATGAAGAAGCACTTGCATGACCTGCATGTGGAGCACGTGCAGCTGATCGCCGAGGCTGATGGGACCTGCAAACAGGCGGAGGAGCTGAGATCAACCGTCAAAGGTATCGTTGAATTATAAGGAAAAATCCAGGGTAACCCCACAATCATTTGCTTTGCACGGACACGCACAGAATATAACACCAAATGTGGTGCAAAATTGTGGGGTTACCCTAGCACGGCCACTCGAATTATAATCTTCCAACCTAAAACCAATTGGCTATGAGAAGAGTAACTTTATATATTAATCTTTTTTTTGAACTTGAGTTTACGATAGGAGAATTTACTTAAATAGCACTAAAACATAATGACTTTCCTTAAATAGCATCGTATATGTTTTTCCCAATGTAGCACTTTTAGTCATTATCCATTAGTCATTATTTAAGTAAATGTTCGCCATCAGTCCATCACTGTACATTATTCCTCCTTCTGGACATTATTAAGTGCTATTTAGGGAATAAAACAGTTTAAGTGCTATTTAGAGAAATTACTTAAGTTTTAGTGTTATTTAGTGCAAATATTTCTTTACGATATGGGATTATATCCTCAACAGGTATGGAGGAAGAGATTAGGAGACAGCAGGAGACGATTGAGGAAGGGGCGGAGGAGAAACGGGAGGCTATAAGACAACTCTGTTTCTCGCTGGAGCACTACCGGAACGGCTATCACCGCCTGCGACAGGTCTTTATGGGCAACAAAGGGCTACCTGTGATGGCGTCCTGAAAAAACAATACACACATTTTCCTCTTTAATTTCCCCTTTTTTTGTTTTGTGTGTCTTGTTGTGTGATGTTTTGTTGCAATCTTGAGCCCATGCCCCATGGTGGTTCATTCTGTGTTGGTATAAATAAATGTTTTTTGGTTGAGGTTTTTGGTCTGGTCTTTATCTTTAAGGTATATATATACACTGATATGTAAAGGACGGAATCGCTTTTGGTGCATTCTATCGTGATTGATATGGTATTTATTGGTGTTTCTTTTCCTATGCTTTTGTTTGGTTTGTTTGCCTTCAGTTAATGGTTTTACACAGACGTGGACAGAGATAGCGTACAATCCAAACCTAAACACAAACATGGGAGGCAAAGAACACATTTAAGTAGGGAGGCAAATTCTCAAAATACAAATTTGGTTGTTGATAAGAAGAGTAAAGAATGGATAAGAAATATGTGATGATAGTTGCGAAAAAATCTATTTGTAACCCAAGATTTGTATCCCAAATTCTCTGTATATAAAATTTATTTTTTAATTTCACACTAATTTTTCAAATAAACATGATTGAAAATAATTTCGATTAGGCTCGTAAACAACAACAAGCGATTTAAATTGGGACGGATGGAGTATTTGATTACTTTTTTAAAATGTCTTTTTTTTCACACATTAGGAATCAAAACACTAACCACTAACTCTAATGCCGATGGCTAACCGCTCACATGAACCTGTAACTCTACATCTATTGCCAAACAACTAGATCTGGCAAAAATTGATCCGGCCTGTTTTTGACCCGAGACTCGACACGAAAACACTAGATTTTGAACAAAAGTTTTGTTGACCGAACCCGAAGATGACCTGCTAAAAATGGGTCAAGCCCGACAAGACCCGAACCCAACCTGACCGATTCGCTAATGTGAGAATTTTTCGAAATTATATATTTTAATTTGGAAAATAGTGTTATAAAAAATAATATTATTTTTAATTTTTTTATTACTCATTTTTAGTGATTAAGTCTATATTTTTATGCAAGTTTTTTTATATATATACCACATAGGTATCTCACTTTTTGAAATCATTTTAAATTGGAGTTTTCAAGGAGAAATATCTCACTTTTTGAAATCATTTTATTTACAAATCGGTATATCGATAGGAAATAAAAGTTACATATTAAAAAACTACTCAAAAGTTCTACAAAACAAGAAGTGACAAAAAATTTTTATTTATCAAATACTTAATTAAATTGTGTAAACAAACAAAAGTTATTGAAAGGAGAGAGAAATTTTTTTATCAAATTGGAGACGAAAGGAATATATTTTATTCAAAAGTGATTCTTTTCTAATATTGTGTTATTTATTAAATTGTTGTTAAACATATCTAAAAAGGAACTAAAAATTCAAAATAAATATTCTAAGAGGTTTAATATGCGTATTTTGGTATTTTATTATTTTTAGTACAAAATGTAAATATTAGTATGAATTTAAATATTTTTTAAAATAAATCTCATCTCCTGTTTGAATTGATGATACTGAATCATGAACATTTAATTCTCAATCCAAACTCGATGCAATCCAAATTCAAAATGATCAAATTTAAACCCATCGATCGATTTCTCAGCATTACAAAGAGCTTATAGATTCAGATTCAACTTTATCACGTGAGTGAGGGAAATATTAAAAATAGTGAGTGACCATGAAAAGCATCTGTGTATAGAGAGACAATGAAATCATTTAGGGTTATACTTTTTTGGATGCACATGTCTAAGTATGCAAGCCCAAAGACCAAACCCATTACTCCGCATATCAGCCTTGTTGGTATAATTGCGGAGAGATTTGTGTTAGGAGTTAGGACAATGGTCTATTGCTTAAGAGCACTGGAAATGGGCTTCACACCTGCCGGCGTGAACGGGCGTTTAATGCCCCGGGGGCGTGAAACACCGCCCCCCTCCGGCGTTATTTGGGCGTGATCAGGCGTGCGTCAAAGTCATTCCATTCCCCNCCCATTCAAAAAAAAATCTTATAAATTCAAACCCCCCTCTCAATCTCTCATACCTTCTCCATCTTCAATCTCTTCTTCTTCCCAATTTTTAAAATTTGAAATTACCCTCTCTTTTCAACATGAATCCTTCCGGCTTCAGCTTCTTTCCCGACGATCTCCTGCCAAGTGACGCCGCGATGTGGTTGTACTAACAATGGGGCGATCGACCGCCGATCTACGAGACGCAACAATCGGGGTACGTCGACCGAGATTCGGTTCCGGAGACTCAACCGGAACCGCCCGGATCGGAAAAAAGTACACGCTGGAGATTAGTTTTTTTATTAATGTATCTTTTTTTAAATTATTGTCATTTTTTATTTAATTAATTTATTTTTTTATTATTCGTGTTTCAATTTAGAAGATGTATATTTAAAAATGTAAAAAATGAAGGTTTGAAGTCCCAGTTTGAAGCCATGAGGCTTCAAACCCATTTCCAGTGAATTTTGGGTGTAAGTTAAAGCTTACATGGCAGAGAGAAGGTTTGAAACCCCGGTTTGAAGTCCCGGGACTTCAAGCCCATTACCAGTGCTCTAAGAGCTTAAAATTACTCCCTTTATGCCATTTTTTAAAAATTTGACTTTTCTTCATTCTATCAAATGTTAAATCCTTTCAATTTTTTTGGTTTTGTAAGTACTCCGTATATTTCAAAGAAAAAATTACTCCGTACTTTGTTTTGTAGTATCCAACTTTTTACCAATGATAAAGTTTGTCTCGAGTGATGTGGGCTAATGACTAATAACAATCCAGTAGAATCAGATGAGTGATGCGTTCTAAGAAGTACATATTTTTTATTTATGCACTTTAATCGATCATTTGATAAGATAATATAGTCTTGTAACCTATTATTTTGTAAAATTTTTGATGTAATTTTAAAATATATAAAAAAAAATTAACTTTACACTTACAATTAAATAATTTGAATTGAAAAATAAAATCATTCAAACTTCGTATTAAAGTGAAATCGAAAAGAACATTTTAGAACAAAATATGTAGTCAATCTCTTTGGCTATAAAGAAATTTGATTCACACATATTTTTAAGAATTACGGAGTACTCCGTATTAAATTTTACACAATAGCACACAGCATTGGTTTGTCACCAACCCACCCATCATTCTCACCAACACCAATCATCCACACCCGACCTAACCCTCCACCCTCCCTCAAACCTAACACCTCTTTCAATTGAATTGGTGCACATCAAAATACAAATGTTTTTGGCTTGACTTATTATAAAGGGTGGGGTTCCCATGACATTGCCCCCAATGTCATGGATGACTCGGGGGCGCTCCGGTGCCCCGTTCGTAAAATTGACTGTTCCTACCTCTTCTAACCCCCCGGTAAACCCCCACCCCACCCCCGACCCGAACACGCCCCCCTACCCCCGTCAATTGCACCACACAAGTTGATTTTGATTTTGGAGTCAAATTTTGACTCCAAAGTCAAAATCAACTTGTGGGGTGCAATTGACGGGGGTAGGGGGGCGTGTTCGGGTCGGGGGTTGGGTGGAGGGTTTACCGGGGGGTTAGAGGGGATAGGAACCGTCAATTTTACGAACGGGATACCGGAGCGCCCTCGGGTCATCCCATGACATTGGGGGCAATGTCATGAGAACCGCACCCTATTACAAATGTTTAAAGAAAATAACAATATTATTTGAAAGTGACACAGGGAAGAAGAGAGAATAATTATGAATCATTCAATTTTTTTCAAAATATGAAAAATAGATTTTTTTTGGGCGTTTTTCAAAATTAAAAGAGACCTTTTTTGGGATAAAAGGTTCTCAAATTTCAATCATTTATTTTTCGTTTTTTCAACATCTTATTTTTTTGAAATCAAAGCGAGTAATATTTAAATAAAAATTAAAGCATGAAGCATACATGAAAATATGCTTTTTGTCAAGGAACCAACTCAACCAAAAGCTCAAGCTTGTGGTTGTGACCCAGAAAATATTTCTTACCAGTATATTATAACACTTTCTATGTTTTATTTCTTAAACAGAAGTGCTTACATTATAAAAGCATCCGCAATCTGATATTTTGTATTGACAATTCACAATGTTTTTTGACATTACGTTTTGACGTTGTTCGGCATTATAATTTTTATTGTAATATCAAAAAAGATATTGAAGGCCCTGTTTTAATATTTCGTTCGTGTCAAAATGATTTAAAAAATTCACTATTATATATATATATAGGAACTTGAGTTTGATTACAGATTTTTCGTTGATTATTTGAAAAAATTAAATATTTATGTCACATTTTATTTTATAGAACTTTTGACGTAGGTTTGGAATGCGCAATTTTATTTTTTATTTTTAAACCAATTTTCAAATAAAATAAATTTAAAAAACTCAGGATTTCGCCTCATTTTAGCTTTCATGTAAGTCTTTTTGTGACGAGGAGAGCATGTAAAGTACTTCCTTCATCACTAAAAATATTTCAGGTTTTGAAATAAAGGCGTTTTGGGGTTACCTTAACTCTAAGCTTGGTATAGTCACGTACATGGAGTTATTGTTTGTGTGACACAGACAATAACTATATGTTTGTTTCTTTGTCAAGCTTGGGATCATAACAAATTAAGGTCATGCTACATTTACACAAAAAAGTATACCACATTTGTACACCGCAGTTATACACAAACATTTTGATGATTTGCACCGACACAAGTGTTAGTGAATTAACAAAAATTTACACGGATACAAAATGTTGATGCATTAACAAATGGGGTACAAATAGCTTTATCAAACAAATTAAAAACCATAAAATTTTGGAATAACAAGATTGTTTGACGGAGAGCATAATTTTTTTTTACTTTCAAATTCTTTAACAAGGGAGAAAAACCAAAGTTGGACTAAAATATTGAAAATATACCAAAATAGGACTTCCACATTTTTATTCCCGAATGTAAAATGTAAAATGCATTTACATTACCAAACATGGTCATGTATATTACCAAAAAGTATAGTAATGTGCACATGTACAGTGTCACATTACCACAGTGTGAAGTTCTATTTTGAAAAAAATATGAAAGTCTTATTTTGATATTTTTCTGTTTTAGTCATATTTAATGTAATTTCTGTTAAATCAACATACTGCAATTGACTAGAAGTATTTATATCATTTTAAGTAGACAATAAAATAAAATAAAATAACGTCACAATCCATGTCAACCAAAGGTAGCTGCAAAGGAGTCTCAAAATTACACCTTCCAAACGATCCACCTAACCCCTCCCTGTCTTTGCCCCCCTTCTCCCTTTCCTTTCTACGGAGTATAAATTTCCATTTCTGCAGTTCGATTTAACATTTTCCGTTCTCCTCCGGCAACCACCGGCCGTTTTCCCGATACACCGTCTTGCGAATCACAATTCCCTCTTAGTTGAAGATGGATCTTCTCCTCGCAGAGAAAACCCTTTTGGGTCTCTTCATCGCCGTCGTAGTAGCTATTGTGGTCTCTAAGCTTCGCGGCAAGAAATACAAGCTCCCGCCGGGCCCAATTCCGGTTCCGGTGTTCGGGAACTGGCTCCAGATAGGCGACGACTTGAACCACCGGAATCTGACCGAGTACGCGAAGAAGTTCGGCGAGGTCTTCCTGCTGCGGATGGGGCAGAGGAATCTGGTGGTGGTGTCGTCGCCGGATCTCGCCAAGGAGGTGCTCCACACGCAGGGGGTGGAGTTCGGGTCGCGGACCCGGAACGTGGTGTTCGACATCTTCACCGGGAAAGGACAGGACATGGTGTTCACGGTCTACGGCGAGCACTGGCGGAAGATGCGGAGGATCATGACCGTCCCGTTCTTCACCAACAAGGTGGTCCAGCAGTACCGGGGCGGGTGGGAGGCGGAGATCGCCAGCGTGGTGGAGGACGTGAGGAGGAACCCGGCGGCGGCGACGGAGGGGATCGTGCTCCGGCGGCGGCTGCAGCTGATGATGTACAACAACATGTACCGGATCATGTTCGACAGGAGGTTCGAAAGCGAGGAGGACCCGTTGTTCATCAAGCTCAAGGCTATGAATGGGGAGAGGAGCAGACTGGCGCAGAGCTTCGAATACAACTATGGAGATTTCATCCCCATCTTGAGGCCATTCTTGAGAGGCTACTTGAAGGTCTGCAAGGAGCTTCAGGAGAGGAGATTGAAGCTCTTCAAGGATTTCTTTGTTGATGAAAGGAAGTAAGTCCTCTTCACATTTCCAATTCAAATCTTCTCTTCCAATCCAAATGACCTCTAAATCTGCTGAATCTTAGTTCTTAATTATCACATCCATTACAAAGTGTCCTTGATTGTGCAAAGGATTAGCATTTTTGAAAGCAACCTTTTTTTAGCTTTACATTTTAACATTATGGTAGATCTGCTAGCTTTTTGGCAGTCAAACCCAGTATGATCTCAACTATGTTGGTCAAGATGTACACAATCTAGATGTTTTGCTTTAGTTACCCTCCAAAGCTTCAAAGAATCTCATAAGCAAAGAAGTCTGACTTTCCATTTTTACCTATTTATAAGGGGAAATTAAGTAGTCAAAGTTCAACGACCATGGAAGATGAAAAGGCCTGTAAATTCAGTGTTACTATGTTCTACATTTGACTTCTGTTCCGTTGCTCCATCCATTCAAACTATTTGATGACAAATTCTTACTTGACACCTTAAGAAAATGGAAATTGTGTGATCGGGATTCACTTAGAAGTGATAGAAAAACATCAAGCAAATGTATAGATTCTTGTGAAATTTGCACTAAATAGTACTAAAACATAAGTCATTTCCCAATGTATGATTTAAACTTTTTTATTCCTTAAATATGACTTAATAATGACTAGTGAGAAAAATAATGCCCATGCTAGACATTTAGTTGAATAATGACTAAATAATGACTAGTGAGAAAAGTAATACCAAGTAAAGATCTTTCGACAACCCAAAGAATAAAATGAAAACTCCAAAACAACTCGAAAGAAAATGATATGACGGAAGCAATGTTTTGGCTTCTTGGATATATGGCTTACATCCTCTCTTCTTCTTCTTTCTTTCCTTTTTTGGTTGCAGGAATCTTGCAAGCACAAAAAGGATAAACAATGGCACTCTCAAGTGTGCGATTGACCATATTCTTGACGCCCAACAAAAGGGAGAGATCAACGAGGATAACGTCCTCTACATTGTTGAGAACATCAATGTTGCTGGTATACTTCTCAATCTCCAATGTGCCACCATTCTTAATGTCACCAATTTCATCTCTTTTTTAGTACTATGCTTCTGTTACAATGTAGTATCTGCCTATGAAACACAAAGAGTTAAAAGGGCGGGCCCTTACTGTTTTTGGCATCTTTTTTTTTAATTAGAAAAAAATTATCATTGTATTTAAGGGCTCTCAACCCCATCCCTGTGGTAGATCAGACGAATATATTGGAGATAAATTGAACTAGAATTTTTGTTTCACAAGTTGATAGTGAGATTTGTATATGGTTCATTCAAAGGCTCTATGTTTTGCACTTTAATTTGCTTTGCCATTTAAGGTACACTAACAAGTAACAAAGCATTACCCTTTAAAATGTGGTTGGGAATGTAATGACATGTTTGTTTGGGGTGCAGCAATTGAAACCACACTATGGTCAATCGAGTGGGGCATCGCCGAACTAGTGAACCACCCTAAGATCCAGGAGAAGCTCCGCCACGAGATTGACACGGTTCTTGGACCCGGAGTCCAAGTCACGGAGGCAGACACCCACAAGCTCCCTTACCTTCAGGCGGTGATCAAGGAGACTCTCCGCCTGAGAATGGCCATTCCCCTCCTCGTCCCCCACATGAACCTCCACGATGCCAAGCTTGGTGGGTATGACATTCCGGCGGAGAGCAAAATCCTGGTCAACGCGTGGTGGCTGGCCAACAACCCCGCCCTGTGGAAGAAGCCAGAGGAGTTCAGGCCAGAGAGGTTCTTGGAGGAGGAGAAGCACGTGGAGGCGAATGGGAATGACTTCAGGTTCCTGCCCTTTGGGGTCGGGAGGAGGAGCTGCCCGGGGATCATCCTCGCGCTGCCCATTCTCGGGATCGTTTTGGGGCGGCTGGTTCAGAACTTCGAGCTCTTGCCCCCGCCCGGTCAGTCGGCGGTGGACACCAGCGAGAAAGGCGGCCAGTTCAGTCTTCACATTTTAAAGCACTCCACCATAGTGTTGAAGCCTAGAGGCGTTTGAGTTGTTTGTGGGTTAATATGTTTCAAATTATGAAATTTGTTGTTTCATGTTTTTTGTCATATGGTGTCATCATTGTAAAGTCTCTTTTATTTAGACCTAATAAATAACCTCACATTGCCAATTGCCAATTCAATTGCGACAAATAAATTTGGTTCTCATAAGATCGGTATAACAAACAAATTATTAAATACCTAATACTCCGTACTATGTTAATTAGAGTGGTAAACATAACCGGATTAAGCTATTAGTACTCCAAGATGTGTACCTGACATTGTACATCATAAGTATGCACTTTTACTTTATATTAGTGAGTATGTACTTTCATTTTATATGAGTGTGATGTTAGGGTAATTGATTCATACAGATACAAAATATTAATATAATTTTTTTAAATTACACTAGCATTTTGTGTTCGTGTAAATTATCATAATATTAATATGTATCTTTGGCATAATTTTGGGGTACACACCTTAATGTAGTTGTAGGATGGTTGAACATAACTCTCTAGTTATGTAATACAAATCATGAAGATAATAACATGATCGAGCATGTCCCTAATCATTTTGGAAATTATTTGGAATGAGGTAAATCTTTTTTAATACCAAAGTGATGATTATAATAAGGTCCATTTTAGGGGTGGACAAGATCGATTCCGACGTCGGACTGAAACTGGAACCATTGGTTGTCAGAGAAGTACTCAAGTTGCATTCTCACTTTCGGGTACTGAAACCGTTTGGATCCGTTACCAATTCTTTTTTTGAAATATTTGCACTAAATATCACTATAAATGAAATCATTTTCTTAAATAGCAATTAAAATGTTTTATTCTTTGAATAGCATTTAATAATGTCCATAATATCCATTGATGGCAAACATTTACTTGAATAATGATTAATGGATAATGATTAAAAGTGCTACACTGGAAAAAAAATACATATTATGTTATTTAGAAAAAATCATTATGCTTTAATACTATTTAAGTAAAGTTCTCTTCTCTTTTGATGTATATTTTTAAATTGTTTTAAGATTGATTCATAAAATTAACCCCTAAAAAATATACAGTTTATGAAGTAAAATATTCCATCCGTCCCTAAATATTCACAACATTTACTTTTTTAGCAGTCGCGAGGATTTTTGTTTATTTCGACGTTTTCATTGGTTATTTGATAAAATAAAATATTCTTGACACCTCTTATTTCGAAGAACTTTTCATGTAGTTTTTTTATATGTAAATTTTATTTTTTATTTCTATACCAATATGTAAATAAGATAAATTGAAAAAACTCGATGTTTTAACTCGATGTAACATTGGTATAAAAAAATAGATTTGGAAGCATGATTCTGGAACCAATACCATGTGACCATGTCCACCCCTAACCCACTTGAAAAGCTCTCCTAAATTAGGTGACGCCAATGGCTTAGGTGACCACGCGTTGTCAAGTTCGGGCCACAAAATGAGTTGACTGCGACACACTACTCCAAGCTTTTGAATTGACTGAGTATTTAATTTGGCCACCAAACACAACTGGCGGCGGTTATCGTTTGAATATTTGATCACTCCCACCAACCCTAAATTTCTTACGCTGTGATGGTAGTCTAGATTAGTTAATGAAGTCTGTAGACGTTGCGCAGTTGGCAAGGCAAATTCGATTTCAAGTAACAACGTTGGGAATCAACTATGCAATGAGGCTCCACAAGCGCTAGGTGCAGACTTCCCTCTTTGCCAGCAATCTGCGATTAAAATACAATGTATCTCGTCTCAATTACCGTCTGACCAAGTCTGAGGGGGCATTTGGAGATAGGGCTCATCTTTTTTTCTTTTAGATCTAGTTAATGAAATTCTTCTTAAAAAATTAAGATTGCGACTAATTCTCGAATTGGCGCTTCAATAGCGTTTGCAACACTCAAAGACGATCAAACATATCTTAATGCTTGCACTATAATTTTGCAATTCACGCACCAACAATTTAAACGCGCTTGTGGCACTCGTTCATTCCTTTTATATAGAATTTTATAATGAATTTCTTTTTAGTAAAAAAATAGTAAATTTTACGTGGTAGCAAGTGAGTGAATCTACTCATATATTATCAAGTATATTTTCAATCGTAAAATATCTATATAGTTTGATGTTTTCAACGAAATTAGGTAAATATAATTTATCAATTAAAAAGAAACTACAATATACTGATGTTCTCAAAAAGACTTCTTATTTTGACCAAGTATAAAAATAAGAAAATGTTAAATTGTAGCTCACTTCTAATTTTACTCCTGATATGATAGGTAAAAATAAGATGTGATGAATAGGTTATTAGGAAAAAATATGATGTGATAGGTAGGATATGAAAAGGTAATGGTAAAAGTGAGTGTTTTATAGAAAGTTAAATTCTTTTGCTAGAAGTTGAAAAAATAAAGGAGAACGTATTTTTAAAAACGGAGAGAATATAATAGTAATAATGAAATATATGTATGGATAACATATCATAAGGAAATACTTTTATACTCCACATTGAATAAAGGGAGATGCTAGGGGTACACCAAAGGTGTACCCCATTTGTCCCACACCCCCTCCATAACCATTCATTTATTTTTGATTTTTATTTATTTATTTTTTTTTAAATTTTTTTTGCCTATTTGAGTGGTAATTTTTTTCACCTTTGGTGTACCCCTAGCACTTTCCTTGAATAAAAGATACAACTTTCATTTAATTAATACTCCGCAATCAACTTTAAAAGCTTAGTGCACTATTCTATAAAAACTTTCGTAAAGGAAAAATGCTAGGAGTACACCAAAGGTGTACCCCATTTGTCCCCCACCGCCTCTTCCACCACATAAATGGGCAAATATTTTTAAAAAAATTAAATAAATAAAAATTAAATAAGAATTAGTGATGGAGAAGGGGGTGGGGGGACAAATGAGGTACGCCTTTGGTGTACCCCTAGCATTGCTTTTCGTAAAGATACATGTCCTTTTTAAAAAAATACTCCATATAGCAACATTAGACGAGTGTTCAATCAGTAAAAAATTACAATGAAGGTGGACAACGAGACACTGTTTCTCATATTTCAAGCCAAGGAGATAGTCTTTACTTCATGTATGTGGTGTCTGATTGTAGAAATTTGATGGTGAATTTTAACACTTTCTTGGTCTGTGGTGAGAAGATTGATGAATCACGTGCCCCGTTTGTTGGCTCGAGCATCTGACTCGTGGTTTCGATCCACCAGCTTTTATTTATGATAATGTAAACTTTGACTCTCTACATTTTTATCTATTATGTGGAAAACATGAACGGTACATTTTTCCCGCCCAAATGTAATGGGCTAAATTGGAATGATGGACCGCCGATGGGTTTAGTGGGCTGCCTTATGGAAATGATGCTTTATGGGGCCACTTGATAATAATATCCTCAATTGGGTAGTGGATATTGCTTTATGGGGCCACTTGATAATAATATCCTCATTGGTATATAAAGTCATCATTATCACCACTTCTAATAACCAAATAAAAAATGATTCAAAATTTCCATACTATCTCTTCAAGATAAAAAAAAATGTCATCCAATGCAAGGGAGTTTATGGACCAAGCTTGTTGATATTGATCCAACATCAATAGCCACTCATGTGAGAGCCGTCCGTGTGTACCAAACAAGTTTTTTTGGTAGAATTATCGAATCAATGGAGATTATTTTCCATTAAGATTAAGTATTTTTCTTCGATTTCATTACTTCTTCATTAAGAAATTGTTTGTATTTTATACATGATGGTATAATATACAAGACAATCGATTATTATTTTCATACATAAAAACTTAAAATTTACAATATCATAAAAAAAATTCGTCTAGTGGAATGATGTAATTTGTGTATCATCTTTTTCATCTTTATTCTATCTGAACTATATTTATTCTATCACATCAACCTTTCAATTTCTATAAAACACTCAAAAAAACATAAAGATATATACCCCAACACGCCAAAGCATTTCGAACCAAACACAATATATATATATATGCATCTCTTTCTACGTGATCTCTACTATCGGATCAAAAGAGTTCCATGAACAGATGAATAAAATAATAGTGAATGAATTGGATCTGATATAATACAGGATACGAGGATTCATTGTCAACTTAAAAAAGAGTAATTTACCTAAATAGAACTAAAACATAATGACTTTTCCAATATAGGACTATATGTTTTTATTTTTTAATGTAGGACTTTTGGTCATTATTAAGTAGTCATTATTCAAGTAAATGTTTATTATTACTGGACATTATTTCTCCCACAAGGTCATTATTAAGTCCTATTTAGGGAATAAAAAAGTTTAAGTCCTACATTAGAAAAATCATTATGTTCTAGTCCTATTTACTGCAAATTTAACCTTAAAAAACCATACAGTTTGCGTTATAAGGCACAAATCGTAGAGAGAGGAGTTTACCTATCAAAACTCTATTGATCTATCACAACTATCAAACTTATGGTGTGAAAACCATAAGTTCTCAAGAGATGTTTAGAGCACTGGCAGCGGCAAGGAGAAGCCTTGCCACGCCCTGCCATTCGTGTAGAGGGAAGCGCGGCAGTGAGCGAGGAAAAAAGGGTCGCGAGTCACTTTGCTTTGCGTGGTGGATGCGAGGCAAAATTTAAGCAGAAAAATCTTGGAAAATCATTCATCACTCTCTTCTCCGCGGTAGTCTTCTCTGGCCATTGGTTTTTTCTCTTCTCTGCGCTAGTCTTCTCCGGCCATCATCGTTCACCTACGACCCTCAGGTAACTCCACTCATCTCTAGGTTTGATTGCTCTGCATTGCATCTCTATGCTTGATCTCTTTTGGGTCAAATGGATTATTTTTAATTCATCAAAAAATCAAATAGATAAATTTATGATAATGCACACTAGGTGTTTGACAAAATGTCCAAATGTAGGATATTGAATTTTTAGACAAAAAAATACTATTGTAAAACAAAAAATACTATTGTTTTCCTACTCATAAGGCTAATTTCCAGTGTCTTGTTTTCCTCACTGGACATTTAGATTTGGAACTTAAAATCGGAAGCATAATTGAGTTCTTTGTTCCTTTTTCCATAATATTTTCATATTTGTCTTCCATTGAAATTTCTCTCCATCTGTTTCTCTTTTTTTCCTTTTAACGTTGTTTTTCAAAACTAACAATAGTATCATTTAAAGCTAAAACTTAGCTTGACTGTTTTGCACTTGCTTGGTTTGTTGTATTCTCAATCTTTCAAATCTCAAATCAATAATTGTGGTTTGTAAGTACTTGGGAAAAAATTGAAGTGGATGAACCACTTTAATCTGTTTTCTTATAAAAAAAATCTTTTGATTTTGTTGTCTATGTGACTAAGGCTGCTTTTGCTAGATTTTGAGAAGTGCATGAACCACTTAAGAGGACATTGACTGTATTTCTTGATTGGTATAATATTAGAAATCTTGCTCTTCAGTATTTGCTATTGATAGAACATTTTTATCATGCAAATTGAATTCTAAAGAGATTAGAACTTTTGAGGATTAAAAAAGACACCCATAATGAGATGTAGTCTTTGCTTTTATCTATGTCCACTCTCATTGGTTTTGTTGTTTGTCCATGTTGGAAATTTACAAGAGTTGTTCTTCCGAAATTCTAAGGTCTACATGTCAAATACTGAAATGTGATCAAGGTAAGAGTGAAAAAAAGAAAATCGCAGAAGCTAATTCTTATCACCTTACAACTTATTTTAATGAAAAATTTCCAGTATCCAAAATATATATACTAAAGTATCAAGTATAGCGGGTTTCTCCATATATATATATATATATATATATATATATATATATATATATATATATAAGAATTAATTATCTAAATTTACAGTCTATTTAAATCCATTTTCTCCACTCGCGCACTTGGGCAAATATGTAGGTTTAAATAGAGAATGATGGTAGAAGCTTCATTGAATTATTGCTCCAGGGAGAGATTACAAACAATGAATCACAATGTAATTCTCAACCCATGACACAAACTACGCGTGTTCCCAAGAGGCATGTTCTTCCTCTCCAACAAACAAATTGGTTGCATGACGAAGATATTCGATTAATCCATTCTTGGATAAATGTAAGAATGGATCTGATCATTGGCACAGATCAAAAAGCAAAGGATTTTGGAGACGAGTTGAGGATAACTACAACCTAGATCACCCCACCTACGTCAATTACACCTCGTAAGTATAATTGACTTTAAAGTCAAAAAGTTTTGACTTTGACTTTATACTTACGAAGTGCAATTGACGTAGGTGGGGTGATTAGTTTGGGTTGGGATTTGGCGGGGGGTTTACCGGGGGGTTAGAGGGTAAGAATCATCAATTTTATAAACGAAACTCCGTAGGGGGAAGTGACTTCCGTGGCCACTAGAATCTAGTGGCCATGGAACCGGGCTCTAGTGTTATTGTGACTTTAATTTGTTAAAGAATTATATTAATGAATTGCAAGTTTTTTGTTATAAGAACTCCCTTGTATACACTAGTTTAATTTTTTTGCAATGTAAGGCATTTAAGCTCTTATATTTATTTGTGTGTATGTTAACTTATGTAGGTGCATATCGACTTTTAAATGGTTATAATAGACTTTTATGTGGATGCACTTTTATAATTATGTTCTTTATATTTTCTATTCCAACTTTTATTTATATATACCTTCATATCAAATTTTTAAAATGGGCCATCAAAATTTATATTTTATTTTTAATTTTCCATATTCAAATACATAAGTTAATAATTATGAATAATTAAAGTATACTAAATTCAATTTAAATCTTCACAACAAAATATAAGCATTTATAAACCACAAAAATTAAATATATTGAGTTGAGAAAAAGAAAATAAAATGATTAAAATATGCCAAAAATCTGGAGTATAAAATAATGACTTGTCACTACAAGACATATCACTCCAATATCTGCCACGGTGTGACTAAATTAATTTTGATTAGTTAAACAGTGTCATATCAGCATATAGCATTCCAGTATATGATTTGTCATCGTTCGTGCTTCCTTAGTCCACCATAAATCTTCTCGCACACTATTCACCGGATCAAACTTCACTCACTTTTTTTGCTTATCTTTACTAGTAATTTAATAAAATCATATAACTTTGACAACTCTAATTTATTCCTATATAAATGTTATATTATTCTATCCGTCCTATATCTTTCTTCCCGTTGCGCAAAACGAAGAAAAATCCCAAATTTTTTCAATTTATTTTATTTAAATATTGGTATAGAAATAAAAAATAAAACATACACATTTAAAAACTACATCAAAAATTCAACAAAACAAGTGGTGACAAAAATATTTTATTTTATCATATAGGCCATAAAAAAACACAAATAAATATAAATTCCCGTAAAATTGGAATAATGCTCTGAGAAGAAAGTTTTAGGACAGAGAGAGTATAATTTTACACCTATAATCATTTAAACTATATTGAAAATAAGATGAGTACAGCCTCGTAACGCACAATTCCGACAGAGGGAGTAATTTTTTATTCATTTTTTATACATTTTTACATTAAAACACAATTATTTGCTTATTTCCTGTGTTTTAGTTCATTTTTTGTTCCCACTTAAAAGCAAAAAGTTAGTCATTCGAAAAGTTTGAATCTTTTTAACTATAAGAGCACTGGAAATGGGCTTCACGCCCGCCGGCGTGAACGGGCGTTTAACGCCCCGGGGGCGTGAAACACCGCCCCCCTCCGGCGTTAAAGGGGCGCGAGTCGTCCAGCGTCATTAGTTTGACGCAACGTTGCTGCATNCCCCCCCCCAAAATAAAAATAAAAATTCTAAACTAAAAAAAAAATCTATAAAATCCCCATTTCTCATACATCTTTCTTACACCTCTCCTTTTATTACTTTATATTCTCTCTAAAATATCTATTATTTATTATAAATATTTATAAAATATAATTAAAAAATGGGTTCATATTCCGACGATGAAAGAAGAGCTTTATTTTTTCGTTGTTTCGCGACGGATTGTATTCAATAGTGGGAAGATGGCCAAGAAGAAGCCGAATCCTCCCGACGCCAACGTCTAAACCGGGATCGAGTGGCCGCTCACGATTCACTTCTAAACGACTACTTTAATAATCCGTGTATTTATACACCAGAGGATTTTAGTAATCATTTTCGGATGAGTCGTTCTCTCTTCTTACGCATACTCGCCAATGTTGAACGCGAGGTTCCTTGTTCAACCAAGGATTTGATGCAAGAGGCCGACGCGGGTTTAGTAGCGTCCAAAAGTGCACTGCAGCGCTCCGTCAGTTGGCGTACGGGACGGCATCCGATATGTTCGACGAATACTTGAAGATGTCGGCTCGGAGCATCAGATCCTGTATTTATAAATTTTCAAAAACTATTATTCAAATTTATCATAAAAAATATTTACGCAAGCCTACAGCGAGCGACATCCATCAATTGCAGGCAAGGCATGCCGCTAAACACGGCTTTGTCGGAATGCTTGGAAGTATTGATTGCACGCATTGGAAATGGAAAAATTGTACCACTGCGTGGCACGGTCAATTCTCCCAGGGAGATCATCCCAAGCCTATCATCATGCTCGAAACTGTTGCTTCGAATGACTTGTGGATTTGGCATACTTTTTTCGGTGTCGCGAGCTCGAACAACGACATCAACATTCTCGATCAATCGCCAGTTTTTAACGATTAAGTTAACGAGACCGCACCAGACTCCACTTTTGAGCTTAGAGGGACGCTTTACAAGCATGGATATTATTTGGCCGATGGAATCTTCTTGATTATTCCACGATTGTCAATTTTCTCTCCGAACCAATGGGTCTTAAACGCCAAACTTATAAAAAAGCTCAAGAGACGACGAGAAAAAATATTGAACGAGCCTTTAGGATCTTGAAGGCTAAGTGGCACATTGTAGATCGTCCGTCGAAATGTTATTCTCAGACAAAAATGAACAATATCATGTACGCATGTATTATTTTTCATAATATGATCATAGAGGACAACAAATCTGTAATTTGTCAATACAATCCGGACGAGGAGGTGCCTATGTACAAAAAAATAACCAAAGAAAAGAAAAGATACAACCGCCATGAAATTTGAAGCCAAGAGATTCATAATACACCAACGACAAATTTAATCGAACATATCTTTAGTCATTCGAATAATTAGTAATTACTTTTCACTGTTGTTTTTTTTATGTAATTTTTTTTTAATGAATTTAATTTTTTTTGAATGTTTTTTTATGAATGCAAGATTTTTTATAATGAATTTATTTTTTTATGCAACAGTGTCATTGCAATTAATTAAAATATTAAACTAATTTAAATTTATTAATTTAAATTTAAAAGAAGTATATTTAAAAATATAAAAAAATGAAGGTTTGAAGCACCAATTTGAAGCCCCTAAACTTCAAAACCATTTCCAATGAATTTTGGATGTAGTTTAAAGCTTACGTGGCAGAAGGAAGGTTTGAAGCCCATGACTTCAAACAGATTACCAGTGCTCTAACAATTACGTGACAATCTCACACAATCCAACCAATGCAGAATCTCAAAGTTTGGATCTCTTTCGACAAAAACGTCAGCCACCGTAATCTGAACCTCTCCCCGGAATACGTTGATCTTGCCGCGGATTCTAGCAAGGACACCAATCTGCGCCTCCGCCGAGAACTTCGCCGCCATAGATGCAACCGCAAGAACATCCGGGGGGCTCCGACGGGAAAAGTAGGGAGACGACAACTGGTTGAGCCACAGCACGCAGGAGATGCAGCCGGTGGAATCGTCGATCACGAGTCTCAGAAACCTTCCCGGCTTGAATTCCCGGCTCACGACAACTCCGACGCACTCAACTCGGGAGAATCTAACGCCATTGCGATCGGAAAATGTCGAATCTGTTGGATTCAAGCTGAGATTTAACAGATCAAACCCTAGAATCTTAACATGAGTTCCGATTTGAGATGCCGGAGCGGCCATTCCTGGCCCGCCACCGTGAAAACGAGATTCATCCTGAAAATTGAAAGGTGAAATAAAAACTCCGATCGAATTCACCAGGATAAATGGACAAGTGCCTGAAATGTGAGTCTTATCCAGGCCCCCAAATCATTAAACCCTGTAAAGAGGGATCAGAGGGAGCAGACATGACGACTCTGAGGATTCAATTTCCGTGCACATAACCATGCTGCCTTCATTATTGAATCCAGAGCATCGGCTTATTGTACACGGATTCAGATTAATATCGAATTCCATTAGTTCACTTCAACACATAAAACTTTAAAAAATTGCTGTAAAAAAATGAAGAAAAAGCGAAGAAACAGAGGAAATGGGGCTGATTTACGGCGTCTGAGAGAATGCATCGAGGACGTGGGATTATTACCGGGAAGATCCAGATGAATATGGCAGGGATGATAAACATTGAGATCGCAGGCATGTATATATATATATGAAATGAATGGATAGAGGTTTTTTTAGGGTTTATGGTGGACGGGCCGGGCCGATTTGGACTGGACTAGGGTTCCACTCTTTGCCATTCTAGCCCAGTTATTTCGTGGATAAATAAAAGCCCTATGTTTCATGTATCATTCCAATTTCTTGTTGTTATAATGGGCCTCTTAGCAATAAAATCAATCGAGTAATAGTGGGTCAAAAATTCTAAATGGTATTGAAGCCAAATCCTAGGCTGTCTGAAGCCTAGTCGTTTGTCTTTCTCTTCTACTGCCATCGCCCATGGTTTTTTTTTATGCAAAGGCGGCGTAACTCTTTCCCGTTTGCTCAGGTTGGTTTATTCACTATTGATTCGGTAAGATTTTTATGTTTAATGTAATACGGAGTATTTTTTTGTTGAAATTTTCTTTAGTAATGTAATTTTTTTGTTGTTTTTTAAATTTAACGTACTTTTTTTATTGACTGTATTTTTCTTTCTTTAATGAACTATTTCAGTTTGCAATATGTTGAGATGTTGAAATAATAATATTGCTCATTGAATTATGGAGTAGATGATAGTGTATATATAGGAGAGACTCCTAACACAACTAGGAATAGAGAATAGAAACTAACTAACATACAACATCTACCACAAATAGGATTAGGAAGCTGACTAATAATGAAACACTACAATAACCAATACTACAAGAAATACTATTAATATTATTGTCTAACATCCACCCTCAAGCTGAACTCTGGCTGAAGCAAGAGAAAGCTTGGACACTAGCTGGAAACAAGAAACTTTGAGAAGAGAGAAGTCTAACATGCACCGGTGGCTGCTCACATCGTTGGAGAAGAGAGAAGTGTGACGCGCGCCGGTGGCTGCTGACGTCGTTGGAGAAGAGAGAAATCTGACGCGCGCCGGTGGCTGCTGACGTCGTTGGAGAAGAGAGAAGCCTGACGTGCGTGCACTGGTAGTTGCTAACGTCGTTGGAGAAGAGAGAAATTGACATGCGCTAGTAGCTGCTGATGTCGATGAAAATGAGAGAAGGTTGACGTGCGCTTGTAGCTGCTGACGTCGAAAAAGAATAGAAAAAGCTATTGGAGGTGCCTGTTTGACTGAAGATCCTTGACATTTTTTGTCTTTTTATTGGATCCGGGCAATGCCCTATTTCCTTCTTGAAGGGGTGAGTTGTAGAGGTCTTATTTCCTCTTTCACTACTTCCCCTCTTGGCTTTGCTTTTGTGCTGATTTACTTTGGATTTTTTAATGATTCAACAGAAGAGAAAGAGAAGGGAGGTTGATGATTGGAATCAGTGATTTTAGAGAGAAAAAGTAGGTTAAGAATTGGTGATGGAAAAAAAATTTGGGTTTGAGATTTTGATGTGGTGAATTGGAGAGAAACAACAATCATTTTTTTTCCTTTTTTTTTAGATCTGAGAGAGTTTGTGAGGTGTTGAGTTTTTTTTTGAAGAACCATGGAGATGACAAGAGAGAAGTTCATCATTCGATAGTTTTTTTGTGTGATTTCAATAGGAGTTTTTTTTCATTTGAATGGAAAAGTTGATTTGAAGATAAAGAAGGAAAAGAAAAAAGAAAATAGAGGTGAATAGGGTGGAGCCGCCGTCGCTGGAATTACCAGTGGCGGCGGCGGTGAGAGCAAAGAACTTTTTTTTTAGGTCACCAAGAGCGGTGGCTCCGATACCATGTTGAGATGTTGAAATAATAATATTGCTCATTGAATTATGGAGTACATGATAGTGTATATATAGGAGAGACTCCTAACACAACTAGGAATAGAGAATAGAAACTAACTAACATACAACATCTACGACAAATAGGATTAGGAAGTTGACTAATAATGAAACACTACCATAACCAATACTACAAGAAGTACTATTGATATTATTGTCTAACACAATATGTTACTACAACCCCGATTTGAATGAAGATATTTTTAGTTGCTCGAACAATCAATAATTTCTTCATAAAGTAATACTCCCTCCGTCCTATAATGATCTTCCCGGTTCGCAAAACGAAGAAAAATCCCAAGTTTTTTTCAATCTATTTTATTTAAATATTGGTATAGAAAGAAAAAATAAAACATATATATTTAAAAACTACATCAAAAGTTCAACAAAACAAGTGGTGACAAGAATATTTTATTTTAGTCAAACATCGTAACGCGCAACGAGAAGTTTATTTGTGGACGGAGGGAGTATATTAATATAAAAATTAGGGAATTTTTTATTAGATTTATCTTGAAGAGAAGTTACATAATTGTGTTTCATTGTATTAAAATACAAATACAAAATTTAATGTGTATAATTAATTATTAAAGCTTGTCTAGTTTAATTTGAAAAATTCAAATTAAATAAATACACCCAGACAAATAGGAGATATATATATGTATATATATGATGAAAATGGCAATAGTATAATACTTCCTTCATAGTACACGCGTAGTTCATCTAATTAGTAAGTCTTAATTATATTGATACATGCATGCACATTATAGCAGTTAATAATAAGATTATTATTTCAATAAGTAGCATAATATATATATATTCATCTCGACGTCTTCGATCATCAGCTGTGTACGTGAAGGATCTGCTGACAGTTGGATGGAAAATGCATGCATGCATATATATANCGACCAACCCTGCCCTAATAATGCACTTACGTACCTGAAGCCTTATGTGTATGTATATATATATATATATATATATATATATATATATATATATATATATATATATATATATATATATATATATATATATATATACATACACATAAGGCTTCAGGTACGTAAGTGCATTATTAGGGCAGGGTTGGTCGTAGCTAATTTAATTACTTTGAAGTATTGGGCATGATTTTCTTAACATCTGAGATCTTGAATGGCTTGATCAAGAAATCTTGAGCTCCTCTTTCCTTGCACCTGCATGCATGCAGTTTAATGTTTCCTTAGTTTACAACGTTAACTCATTAACGTTCCCAAACTTTGACTACATTTAGACTTTTCTAAGCCATGAAAGAAAATGTAAAGAAGAAGAAGATTAAAAGGGGGAGGAGGAAATAATAATGCTCCTTTTGGTTAAATATTAATTACTCCCTCCGTCCACAAATAAAGTTTTCATTGCGCGTTACGATGTTTGACTGAAACTATTTTCAAATCATTTTATATGAAATATGGTATGGAATTAAAAAATAAAAATTACATATTTAAAAACTACATGAAAAGATCTACAAAACTAGATGTGACATGACTATATTATTTTATCAAATAGGACACAAAAATAGGCCAACAAAGTGAATAAAGTTTGACCCTGTGAATAGTGAACGAGAATTTTATTTGTGGACGGAGGAAGTATAATGTATTCCATCCGTTTCTTAAACACTTTCTCTTTCATTTTTTTCTATTTCTTCAAAACACTCCTACTTTTCAATTAAAAAACCACATTTACCCATATTTTTTCTTACCTTACATATTACATCAAACTTTTTTCACTAATAGTGTATTTATTCCATTTTACTTTTACGTATTACATCAAGCCCAAAATTGGAAAGTCAGCCATTAGTATAAACTCTTTATTTTTTCCATTGGTCAAAGTAGGAAGTGTTTATAGGAACGGAAGGAGTACGTATATTAAAATGAGTAAATATCCAAATTAGGTTTATCTTATTATTTAAAGTTTCATAATTTTATTTATTTGTAGTCTACTCTGTAATAAAATGACTGAATCAGATTTATCTTGTTTAAAACTTTCATAATTTAATTTATTTGTATTAATATACTACTCCCTCTGTCTCAAAAAGATTGGTACATTTTGACTAAAGTTGTAAAATAAGGAGGGATATTTTGGTGTTGACTTTCCAAAAATACCCTTGATGTGATGTGTAAAAGTAGGATGTGATGGGTAGATTATTAGGAAAAAGGTATGATGTGATAGGTAGGGTATGAAGAAATAAGGGATAAAAGTGGTTTTTTAATAGAAATGTAAAAGACTTTAAGGGACGCAAATTTTTCGAAACGTAACGGAATTTTTGAGACGGAGTATAAAATTAAGAATAATTAATTATTATAACTTGTCAAGGTTGACTCAAAAAAATTAAAGTAGACGGATACTTTTTAGAACGGGAGGAATAGATATGGAGTAGTAATAAAATGAAGAGGGAGTACGTACTCATTGATTCGTGCGGGGAGATTGTCTGATGACAGTATCACAACAGGTATGTGTTTCATGGATGGCGATGCCTGTCGTCATTTTTATATCATTTTAACCATAATTAATTGTTTACGAAATTTAATTTAATTTGCTGTTAAGGTATATATATTACCGTGTCAAAATTTACCTTGATAAATTTAAGCAGTTCGTAGCCTGTCATTCCCGGCATGCTATAGTCCGTTACGATTAAGTCCACCTTAGGTGCCTGCATGCACTTAGTTAAATTAATTAATTACCGTCACAATTAATCCCATAGGGTAGTTTTTGGGATTGAAACCTATATCTTTTTCTTTTAATTTAAAATTTGGTGGTCAAACTTTGACTACAATTTACATAAGAAATGCACTACTCGGGTTGTGATAAAAAAGATTTAATATTCCATATTGATAGATTAAATTTTACACATAGATATAGTTATGATATACTCCCTTCGTCCCAAAAAGATTTACAAGTTTCAAAAAAATTGCGTCCCATAATTCCTAACCTATTTCTATTAAAAAACCACTTTTACATCTTACCTTTTTAAATCCTACCTATCACATCATACCTTTTTCCTAATAATTTACACATCACATCATACTTTTACCCATCACATCAAGGGTATTTTTGTAAAGTCAACACAAAATTATCCCTTCTTTAATTTCTACTTTAGTCAAAATGTATTCATCTTTATGGGACGGAAGGAGTATTATAAACATTTTTTATAGTAAATATTTATAAAGAAATAGAGATATTAATGATTAAACTATTCTATTTGAAATTATAAAAACTACTCAAATTAAAATGAGAGTTTTGTGCATTGAAATGATTACCAAAGTGGCGAGCAATTCGAGTGCCTTGTGTCCACAATCTGCAGTCGTCACTGCAAGTATATTTTATACCCACCCACCAAATTAATTATTTAATTAATTTATTATTACTTCGTATTATAATCATTAATTTATAGTAATTGTATATAGGAAACATATATATGCACACAAACACCTTTACAAGAAGAGGCTTGAAAAATCCTCTCAATGAGCTTGCGATCTGATGCACAGTCATCCACAGCTAGAACATGCACCTGCGGCGCCTTCTTCTCCTTGGTCGGAGATGATGTCGCCGACGATGATGGCGACGAGTTTGCTGATGAAGATGAAGATTTTGCTGCTGCTTCCATTCTCTTCAATATTTTTCTAATAACTAATTAACAATCACTCACTTGCTGCTAATTAATTAGACTAGCTCTCTAATTAATTGAAGGAGATGAATAACTTAATAAGTTTCTTGGTTAATAAGATCGAGATAGAAGTGGGTAAGTATATATATAGGGAGGGGTGAGAATCAATTTTAGTGTGGCCTTTGGAGGAAAAAAAAAGGTGAGCCTCATCCCCGAGGCCCCCTCAGATCTGGTTTGACGATCAATGATATGAAGTAAATTGGACTTTGATGGTAGATTGATGGCAAAGAGTAAAATCTAGACCTAATACTTGCAGTGACTAGCATAGTTGCCTCCCACCGCAATTGTCAGGAATCGAACTCGAATCTTATCCAATTGGCACTTTTTGCTTTGTCAACTGCGGAAAAAAAAGACAGTTGCTTCCCAAAGAATCAAATTAATTAAAGTGATGAGATCTATGGGAAGGAATAGATGGAGAAAAGATAAAAATATATCCTGATGAGAAGATCATAAAATATATCGTATCAGATGTGGACAGATGAGAGAGAGAGAGAGATTCTGTGGGGAGATCTTTTTAATTTAATGTGGTCACGTACGTCGTACTACTAGCAGCTGCTCTATACTGCTGCATGCATGCATGGGATGGATTCTTTCTTTTTCTTTTATGCTATCTATATATATACTGCTTGCATGCCCAGTCCCCAACTATGACCCGACAACGAATAAGTAGACTAAAAGTTTGGGAATATCAAAATTTGATCCACCACAATTAAATTTTAAACCTAACTCAATTAATATTAGATTTATATTTTAATTTATTCTGTATTTAAATATATTTTTCTCGATGATGGAGAAAAATATTAAAAGTTTGTCTACAAATCAAACCAAGACAAGGTAAATTGGGGTGGAGCCGTGGAGGGAATTCATTTAAAAAAAGACTCCATTCGTTGGAAATGATTTACACTTTTACTAGAACTTCAATCTCTTGATAATTATTGTTTACATTTATATGATTTTTCATTGGTCATTTAATAAAAAATATTCTTATCACATTTTATTTTGTAGGACTTTTAGTATAACTTTCAAATATGCACTTTGTACTTTTTATTTATATGCAAATTTATAGATAAAATCATTTTTAAAAATATAGATTTTTAGGTTATCCAAATAGTGTAAATAAATTTGAGACACATGGAGCAGCACCAAAAATTCTACTTTCCGGTCCCACAAAACATATCTTGTTTTGAATTTTAAAAGATTTAAGAAAAGTTACTTTGGTGTTGACTTTCAAAAAATACTCTGTGATGTGATATGTAAAAGTAGATGTCATATATAGATTAATAGTTAAAAAATGTAATGTGATAGGTAGGTTAAGAATTAGTAAAGATAAAAGTGACCTTTGAAGTACTAGTAAAAGTGTAAATCATTTCGGGACAAAAAAAGTATCTAAGACCAGATGATGTAACAATTTTATTTTATTGAATAAATAAAATAAATAGCAAAAATATGTAAAGAAAAGTGATGGAGGTATTTAATTTTTTTTTTTTTTTTGCACTTACTTCGCCGCGAGATTAGACCTAGTCCAGCTATAGTGTACGTCCCATATCTTTGAATCCTTTTTCCTTGCCAAAAGATTGACCAATGCGCCTGCATACATACCTGACACCCACACATGAAAAAGAATTTCTATCCAGCGACGGTAAATAACTCTGAAATATTTGCACCAAATAGAACTAAAACTTAAATCATTTTTCTAAATAGGACTTAATTATTTATTTCCTAAATAATACTTAATAATATCCATAATGTCCCATGATAGCAAATATTTGCTTGAATAATGACTAATGCATAATGACTAAAAGTGCTACATTAGAAAGAAAAACACATGTGATGCTATTTAGAAAAAGTCATTATGTTTTAGTGCTATTTAAGTAAATTCCTCAATAAGTTTACATTTGTTTATTTTTTAATGTACCAAGAAAATTATATGATCCCGATTCCATGGCCACTGCCCCCTACGAAACTCCGTTCATAAAATTGATGATTCCTACCCCTCTAACCCCCCGTAAACCCCGCCGCCAAGTCCCGACCCAAACTAATCACCCTACATACATCAATTGCACCTCGTAAGTATAATTGACTTTAAAGTCAAACGTTTTGACTTTATACTTACGAGGTGCAATTGATGTATGTAGGGTGATTAGTTTGGGTCGGGACTTGGCGGCGGGGTTTACCGGGGGGTTAGAGGGGTAGGAATCATCAATTTTATGAACGGAGCTCCGTAGGGGCCAGTGGCTTCCGTGACCACTAGAATCCAGTGGCCATAGAACCGGGCCGAAATTATATTACACACAATTAATATAGGAGTACTATTTAGGGAATAAAAAAAATTAAGTACTACATTAAGAAATGAGAAATGTTTTAGTACTATTTATTACAAATTTCACAAAAAAGATTTTTCATTTTCTTTTTGAGACATTTCAAAATAGAATTCTCTTTTCATTTATGGAATTTTTTTTTGTGGCCTAGTGTCTTTTACTTGTTTGCCTTACTTTGTAGCTCACAATTTTATTTTTCTTAAAACGTTGTACCAAATTTATACAAAAAGTTTTTTGGGAGGAAGGGAGGAGAATTACTACAAGTGTGTAGTAGTTGTGAAATTTGTAAATACGTGTGCATGGGACGACGAAAAATGAAATTTCCCTATATATGAATTAATTAAAGCCACGTGTGCATGGGACGACGACGCGACCAAGTAGTGTGTAGTAGTTGCAGCTAAATTAAATTCGTTGTCATCTCTAAATTAACAAACAGACTTTGTGCTTATGGATGAGATAATAATATTCGATTCGCACAATTAACACAAAGGATCAAAAAAGGATCGGATGTGTTTCAGTTAATTAGTTTGAGATCGAATTCATTGGATGCCCAGCCCGAATATGCATGCAGTCTGTTCCCACCCATTCGCTTGTGCGTGTGAAGAGCGCATTGGTCGGTCGGGTCGGAGAAGATGATGTATTTTATAAAGTTGACCGAATCATCTTTTTAGTTTGACGACGCACCACTTTCAAATTAATTAAGACGAAATTAAAGAAAGAACGTATGTAGCCATCTGTTAATTAATTAGTCCTTCAAATAAAAGAGGTGCCCTGTGGAATCTGAGACATACACACATTATTATACCCCCACCGTTTCTCAAAACGGTTCCTTTTTTGACTTTGGGGAAAAATAAAGAAAGTTTAATTTTAGTTGACTTTCCAATTTTGCCCCTGATGTGATGGGTAAAAGTAAGATGTGATAGTTTAGTTATTTATGAAAAAGTATGATGTGATAGGTAGGGTATGAAAAAGTAGGGGTAAAAGTGGTTTTTAATAGAAAACGGAAGTGTTTTAAGAAAAACAAAAAAAAATGAAAGAGGAAGGGTTTTAAGAAACGGAGGGAGTATGAAATATTTGCACTAAATAGCACTAAAACTTAAGTCATTTCTCTAAATAGCACTTAAATTGTTTTATTTTCTAAATAGTACTTAATAATGTCCATAATGTCGCATAATGACTAAGAGTGATAGATTGAGAAGAAAAACACATGTGGTGCTATTTAGGTAAAGTGATTATGTTTTAGTACTATTTAAGTAAATTCCTCTTATTATATATTGTTCATGCATCCACTACATGCATGTTGGGAGTTAATTATATACTCCATTCATCTCCTAATAGTGCAAAAGAACAATCTCTTTAAGACGAAATATATACATGCTGCGTGTCCATCTCATGTATGTTCACAATGATGCTACAAACTAGCTAGCTACATGATAATTAATTGAACTCAAGGGATACGATGACGCACATCACACTTAGGGCCCATTTTGCTACACGAAATTAACGGAAATAGAATAATTAAGTTGGAAGTTGAAATTCTATAGAATATATTGATTTGGATGGAATTGAATTTTTCAATTTAAATACATTTTTGACACTACCAAATCTAAATTCTATGAAGACCCACGCTTGTAAGTGTTGGGCTCAGTCGAGCACATGCCCACGTCTGCCCCCTGAAGGATAAGTCGCAGCTAGCAGAGGAATGAACCCATGCCACATTTGAGTCCTGAGGACCGGCAAACGGATTGAAGTATGGAAGCTCACCTCTAAGTAAGTTTTTCAATATTTTAAGTTATCTTATACGGAGTAGTATATATTTTAAAAACTAGAAGTATCTAACAAGTTGTTGCAAAATAGTGAGTTGATCTCGCTTGGTCGTATCAAAATACTCAAGTTTGGGGGAATTGTGATATGAGGATATGTTAAATCCGAACCGGTTAGTCCATCTTCATCAAACACTTAGAAAAAATTTGATATAAAAATTATTATAAATTAATTACTACACTTACTAGACAAATATTCCCTCTGTTCTAAATTAATTGTTCCATTTCGAACGATGTATAAAATGTATATCCTTTAAAATGATTTTAATTATAAATTGGTATAAAAATAAAAATTATAACTTACATATTTTAAAAAGTATTAAAAGTTCCGAAAAAATAAATGACGACATGCTTATTTTATTTTATCAAATTATCAATAAATATTCATATTTAAACAAAAATTAGTGAATGACCCAAACAATAAAAAGGATAATTAGTTTGGAACGAACAAATTGATCATTAATATCGTCGTATTTTTTATGCTCCCCTGTCCCAAATTATTTATATTGTTCGAATAACGTGTAAAGTCTCTTCTTCTAAAAAAAATAAAGATCACTACTAGAATATGTTGAATTAGCTGCCAACTTTAGTGAGGGAAACTTTGCGTCGGCGTGCCCCACAGAATTAACTTTTATATTTTTATGTTGGTCTAAGCGACACTATGATGTGTAGATATTTTTGTAAATTTATGTTTGAAATTTTTTAAAAAGTAATTGCGTTGGGTTATTTGATGCACGCCACTGGAAAATAACAAATTTACTAATGTCAGTTTGGCCGACACAAAGTTTACGTCGGCTTACTTGAAACAAGTAAACTTTTTTATTTTTAAAAAATCTTTTGTGTGGGCTGGACCGAAAGAATGCTGAAATTTAAAAGCCCGTCTATTTAATTTTTATTATCGTCGGTTTGACCGAAGTAAAGGAAAAAGGGCCTGGCCCGTTTCTTAACCCGATTCTAAGCCAAAAGAGAAAAGGAGTATATACTACTAAATTCCTTTAATTAAAAAAAACGCCTGAAGAGAGGGAAGAGATTACAGGAGGAAATCGATGCCGGCAATCGACTTCTCCGGCCACGCCGCCGATCAGAGACCACAACCACGCCGACCAAAGACCTATAAACAGGTTCTACATAGTATACTCTTTCAGTTTATCAATTGGTTTAAATGGCAACTCTAATTTTTGAAGTGTATTTATATGATTACATATTGAAGTTCAAGAAATCTGTATTCTTTCATGTCTCAAGCCACTTTTAAATACCTTTTGGTGATTAGATATGTTGGAAATTATTAGACTTCATGTTATACCTAAAAATATTTTAGTCTGTTATTATGATCACCAAGTGTTTGATGAAATGCCAAACTTAACAAGAACATTTGTGCCTATATTTTCTCTTTCTACTTTGTTGTATTCGTCCCATGAATCCTTGAACTTGTTTTGTTTCACATTGTTGCTTGTTTTTTTTAATTTTTTTGAGATGATAACCTGCTTTTGGTTTTGTTTTGTTAAAATTTCTAATTAAGCATATATCTCAGACTCTCAGTTGGTATTAAATATATTTAAATTAAAAAAATACCAACATAGAACTAACCTCTTCATTTAGAAATTTTAAGTTCAAAAACTCTAATACAAAGTAGCATCAAAAGGTAGTAGTAGTCTAACCAAATATTCTTTCATAAAAAGGTGTTTTAGTGCATTTTTGACTTGTCTGCAACTCTCAAAAACATTTTTAAAACTAAGTATGTCTAAATTTTACTCTTACAGGTTATTACTAATTAGTTTAGCAACTCTAGACAATTGAGATGTTGTACATTCTGCATTTCAATAAAAACTAAATCTCTTCATTCTTTTAGAAAACTAATAAGCCATTACATTGCATTTTAAAATAGCAACCTCTTCTTTAAATAAAAACAATTAAAAATTAAGTGCAATACTGATCTCTTTCTAACCAAGATGTAGTTATATTTATTTTTAGAAACATATATGGAAGTAATTAATATCATCTATGTAATGGTTTAAATGGTTGGAAAAGGGACAATAATTTAGAAACATGGAAGTAATTAGGAATTACACGACTTTATAAGAGCATCTCCAATGCAGACGTTAAAAATGAGTGGCTATACCCAGCTTTTATAAGATATATAGTGGTTTAGATGTTTTTATTTTTACATAAGCACCAACATGATCAGGCATTTCTAAACCTTGGTATAAAATTTAATGTATTTTATCATTTTTATTTTCATTTGAAACGCAACAGAAATCAAGATGTCACTAGCCTGTCTTTCTTTTCTCTTTTTAATTTATACAAAACATTTGATTTATAGCTAATGAATAGTGATCATGTATGCATAGATTATATGAAGCAACAAGAGAGAGATGAAAAACTACAGCAACACTTCCCATGCTATGTGCTGTTAAATAACCTCTCTGTGTGTGTTTCTTTATTTTAAATTGTCATTGTTGCTTTGTTTCTTTATTTTATATAGTCACTGTTGTTTGTGTTTCTTTATTTTATAGAGTAAAGAGAAAAAACATATGTGGATGTGGATGAGGCCTTTAGAGCACTGGTAATGGTTATGAAGCCCTGGGGCTTCAAACTTTCTCTCTCTGCCACGTCAGCTTTAAATTACACCCAAAATTCACTGGAAATGGGTTTGAAGCCCCGGGGCTTCAAAACTAGGCTTCAAACCTTCATTTTTTACATTTTTAAATATACATCTTCTAAAATTAAATTAATAAAATGTAATTAATTTATTATTTAATTAAATTGAAACACGAATAATAAAAAAATACATTCATTAAATAAAAAAAGCGTCAATAATTTAAAAAAGGATACATTAATTAAAAAAACTAAGGTAAATTATATTTCTCTTTGATCTCTCTCATTCTTTGCTCATAGATCATTCGTCCAAACTCCGACAACGTCCCGGGGTCGGTTTGCATGACTTTCATCTCAGCCTCCTGCTCCTTTAGCTTCAACTCCTTCTCCTTTAGCTTCAACCTCTCTTGTTCTTGGAGATTGAACGCCCGAAGTTGTTCAATCATTGCCCGGCCGATTTCGTCGCGGGGAGAAGCGGAAACAGAGGAGGACCCTCCCGAACCCGAGGCAATGGATTTTGCCTTCTTTCTTCCGATCGGCCGTGGAATGGGGCCCTCGTCATCGGAATCCGCAACGTTGAAGGGAGGGATTTGATCGCTAGAACCGATAGTCTCGTCGACCTCAACCTCGGCGTCGACGGTTGATCTTTTCCAGAATGATCCGCCGTCGGGATTGTTGAGTTCTTGCCACTTCGAGGAACGATTCAAAATCCTCCAAAGATCGATGGGCACCTTGCTTTGGTTCCCGTCGTCTTGATATCGGGTCGTGGCAAGCCGGAGAACATCGGCGTCGTTCGTGCCGCTCCTCCGGGACCGGGAGCATCCCTCGTAAACTCCCATAAACTTTCGGACTTTTTTGTTGATGTGGCTCCATTTGAAAGTGAGTTGGTCTCGGGTTCGGTAGGAGCCGTCCTTCTTTATCGCCGTGAAGAATTTCTCCTCGATACGATCCCACATCGCATCCTTCGTTTGCTCCGTACCTTTAAAAATGTATTACACAATTTTTTTAGACACCATTAAATATAATATATAAAAATAAAAACATAAATATATTACAAAAAATAAATTTTTAACCAATGATAGGATGCTCAGAGACGTCAACCCAAGCTGACGCCAATATGCACTCCTCCTCCGGCGTCCACTTTTGGATTGACCGTGCCGCCTCGGTCAACGTGCTTTTGGCTTTGTGGCTTTTCCGGCGTGTACTTTTTTTCGATTCGGACGGTTCCGGTTGAGTCTCCGGAACCGAATCTCGGTCGACGTACCCCGACTGTTGCGTCTTGTAAATCGGCGATCGATCGCCCAACTCTTGGTAATACCACATCGCGGCGTCGACGGGCGCGAGATCGTCGGGAAAGAAGCCGGAGCCGGAAGGATTCATGTTGAATAGAGAAGGGATAATTTCGAAATTTAAAATGGGAAGAAGAAGAGATTGAAGAGAAGGTGTGAGAGATTGGGTGGGGTGGGGTTTGAATTTATAAGAATTTTTTTTAAATGGGGTGCAACGGTTTTATAGCCGTTAGGGGGGAGGGGAATGGAATGACGCAGCGTCATTCCTTTCACGCTGGCCCGATCACGCCGTTTCACGCCCGGCGGGGGGCGGGGTTTCACGCCCCCGGGGCGTTAAACGCCCCATCACGCCGGGGGGCGTTGCATGTATTACCAGTGCTCTTATAGTCACTCGCCAACATAAAGATGGATGTTGGGTCCATTTACTCTCCATGGAAACATACGTAAGTACTTAATTTTTTTCCGATATAATTTTTATATCTGAAAATATACTATTAAACATTCAAATATGTTAACTTATTATAACTTTTACCTATTTCTAGTTCAGAATACATATCAAAATAAAATAAAGGAGATTGCTCAAAGTGAAGAATGTTCTACAAGTGGCACAAGTGATATTAACAGGAGCAAGAAATTAGCAGTCTGGCAAGAGACAGTTGGAGGAAAGAGCAAAGGAAAGGTGTATAGGATGACTGATTTGTCATCGAATTTTACACGTGGAGGAGCAACAATGTTCTACAGTTCTGAAGAGTGTTGTGATGATGAACTCAACACTCACGACGTTCAATTAGAAAAAGAGCTTGAAGAATTGCGTCATGCCCATGAATCGGAGCATGTAGCTCATGAGGAGGAGCGTCATGCACAAGAAGAAAAAATTGCACATATGCAGTAGTCAATGGAGCTGATAGTATCACGTCTTGCACCTTTTGAGAGTGAAAAAAGTTAAAATAAAAAGCGTAATCACGATTCTGACGAGAGTGCTCATGACTTTCAAGGCTCGAAACAACGCTCTTCTTTTTAAGGAGCTAACTATTTAGTGTCACTCTTAATGAAATACTTTGACATTAAACTTATGTTTTGCAATACTTTTTATAAGCTTTGAATTGTTCATATTGTATGGGTCATAAAAATGTTTGTCTTTGATTTTTATGATTTTTTTATGACGAATGACATTGAATCTTTCATTTTGTTTATGTTGTGTATTTGAAATACGTTGAAACTCCCTTTGATCATGAATATTTTGTTCATAGCAAACCGTGTATTAAATAAATATTTCTTTTAAAAAATAATTGTGTGGATTAAGCCCTCCCTACTATTATTTTATTTAAAGTTTAGCAAAGAGTTTCTACACACAAGACATGTGATGCTAGACTAATCGTTCACACAGACACAATTCTAATATAAACTATTTTAACTAGACTAGCATATCGTGTAACTGTAACCATTGAAATACTAATGAATAATTTTGATTTAGACTTTGAGATATACTCCATAATAACCTTTTAGCATGGTTGAAAAATTATTGTGCCTGTTTGGGAACAGCGTTAGCAATTAGCGTTAGCGTTTTGAAAAAGCTATCTACGGGCAGCGTTTAGCGTTAGCGTTTTCAAAGCGATCTGCACCGTTAAAATTTTATCCAGAACGCTAACGCTAATCTCTAACGCTATTCCCAAACAGGCCCATTGTGTAGTGGAATGGAGTAGTCCAGCGGTCCAGGCCGTCCAGCCCAACGCGTAACGCTAAATAAGTACTTGGGAGTAAAGTCTGCAGATGGCAACCGCGTATGGATAAGGCGGGAGCCAACCTCCAACAGTCCAACTCTCCCGCAACAAAGAAAAGAGTCAACAATTCCTAATGAATCTTTAAAAAAACAATTGCGAATGAAACGCAAAACTTTATTGTTTTCTTCATGTACGGAGTAATTTTTACTTTTAAATAGATTGAATCAAATTAATTCGAATTAAACAAAATTTATTGAATTATCATTTTTATTTTGAAACGAAAGAAGTATTTTTTTTAATGTTGTAACTCATTTTGTTTCAAAAAATTATGTTGTACTCCCTCCGTCCACCTAAGTTCTTCCCGTTACACGTTACGAGGCTTGACCGACTTTATTTTCAATTCAATTTAATTGATTATAGGAGTAAAATTTTAAAATAAAATTTATATAGTAATAAACTACATGAAAAGTTCTACAAAACTAGATGTGACAAGACTATATTATTTTACGAAATAACTAGTAAAAATGAGCAAACAAAGTGAGTAAAGTTTGACCATGTGAATAGTGTCTGGGAAGATCTATGGTGGACAGAGGGAGTAACTTATTTTTCTAGAAAGTATACTATTTCCGTCTTGCATTAAATTTTATTTATTTTTCTTTATTTTTTTCAATATCTATTATTTGTTTGTCTGTTTTCTTTGATTATTTGATAAAATAAAATATTTTTGTAATATTTTATATGTGAAATTTTGACAAAGTGTTTTAATTAATACCTAAATTATATTTTTTTTATTTTTAACACAATTTATAAACAAAATGATTATAAAATAATAAATTTGTTTAGAATTTTAAAAAGTACAAATAAATACTGGAATGAAAGAAATAATTAGGTGCCAATAATTATTTAAAAATGTTAACATTAAATATCAAAACTATTAGGTCATGTGTTATAATTGGTTTAATGAAGGGTTTGACAACCGCCATGTAGGCGCCATGTAGCTTGTCCCTCCCATCAAGCCCATCACTTGTGGGTATGTAATGACGGGGTGCTTGACTAATTTTTTTTGTAGATAGATAATATTTTTTATAAACATTTAAATTTAAATATTAATCTAAACATGGTTCGAAATAAATGCATTCATAATTGAAAGAAAAGTGCAACAAAGAAAAAAACAACGATAAAAAATAGCAAAAAAAATAATTAACGACGAGGAGAAAAATGACAACAAAAAAACAACAAGTCGCCCATGTTCCATTTGGTCCGGATGTTCGCCTTTGCCTTCTCGGTGTCTTCTCTAGCATGCTCAATCAAGTGATTCGTTTGAGTTTACAAAATGTGCATGTCCATGTTGTATTGTTTTTCTTGTTGGAGAGAAACAAATATTTTTATGTATGTTGATATCTCGTTCAACTTGATACTCTCCGAGGAATTCGACGTTTTCCTCCATTGTCGCGAGTAGGGGGGACAACGCCTATGTTGATCGTTCAGCCCCATCCGTCATGCCTGTTGTATCACCATGGTCACACCATGATGAGGCGTGCCAGGCACAGTGAGACCAACGGTCTGTACACCTACGACTACCTTATTACGACTTCACTCTAGTTGAAGACCCTACCGCGATATGCGCCAATAAAACCACCAAAAGCTTTTGTGGCACTAGTGTGACACAAAAGTCATAGGTGATCATTGGTCCGATGCTTCGGACGAAATGTCCCATAACACATGGTCTTAGGGTATACTAATTAAAAAAAATACTCCGTAATTAAATAAAACAATGAAATCCAACAAAATTAAATAAGGTGAGATTTGGTTCGATTTTAGAAATAAATACAACACTAAAAAAAAGTAATTTAAAGCAATCCATAATACCGACCACAAATGTGATTCATGTGAACACTCTTTTCCCTTTTCCCATCATTCATCCATTCATTTATTCATTCATTACTCCCGTCTTATATTCATTTTTCGAACTCTTCTGTCACTTTTCGGTCTCAGGCATCACGGCAGGGGAGGACGATGATGCCGGAGATCGAACACGTTCGCGGCGGCTGGCAGCCGTCGGACGACAATGCCCTGTTCGACAAGTACGAGGTCGGCAAGCTCCTGGGCTGCGGCGCCTTCGCGAAAGTTTATCACGCGAGGGACATCAGGAGCGGGCAGAGCGTCGCGATCAAGGTGATCAACAAGAAGAAGATCTCCGGCGCCACCATGATCGGAAACATCAAGCGCGAGATCTCCGTCATGCGCCGCCTCCACAACCCCCACATCGTCAAACTCTTCGAGGTCCTCGCCACCAAGACCAAGATCTATTTCGTCATGGAGTTCGTCAAAGGCGGCGAGCTCTTCGCCAAGGTCGCGAAAGGCCGGTTCAGCGAGGATCTCGGCAGGAAGTATTTCCGCCAGCTCATCTCCGCCTTGGGGTACTGCCATTCTCGCGGAATTTTCCACCGCGATCTGAAGCCGGAGAATCTCCTCCTCAACGAGAACGGCGATCTGAAGATCTCCGACTTCGGCCTCAGCGCCGTCTCCGATCAGGTCCGTCAGGACGGGATGTTGCACACGCTCTGCGGAACGCCGGCGTACGTGGCGCCGGAGATTCTGACGAAAAAAGGGTACGACGGAGCCAAGGCGGACGTGTGGTCCTGTGGGGTCGTTCTCTACGTCCTCACCGCCGGCTATTTGCCGTTCAACGACCCGAATCTCATGGTGATGTACAAGAAAATCTACAAGGGCGAATTCCGATGTCCTAGGTGGATGTCGCCGGATCTGAAACGGCTGTTGTCTCGCCTCCTCGACACAAATCCGGCGACGAGGATCACCATCGACGAGATCACCGAGGATCCCTGGTTCCGGAAAGGATCCAAAGGGAAAATGAAATTCTACGACGAATTCCTGGAAGTCAACAAGGAGGAAGACCAGATTCTCCCAGACTCCTCCTCGTGTTTAAACGCGTTCGATATCATCTCCTTCTCATCCGGGCTGAACCTATCCGGCTTATTCCACGGCGGCGCGTCAACCTCGGCCGCAGAGTCAGAGAGGCTGGTGGTGGAGTCGCCGCCGGAGGCCGTGCTGGAGCGGATTGATGGATTCGCTGCGGCGGAGAAGATTCGATTGAAGAAAAGACGGGAATGGGGTGTAGATATGGAAGGGCAAAACGGGAAATTCACCGCTTCGATCGTAATTCACCGGTTGACGGAAAGTTTGGTCGTCGTTGAAGGTAGAACGATGGCCGGTGACGCCGAAATGTTTAGGGAGGCGTGGAGGGAAAAGATTGGGCCCGCAATCGCTGGCCCAACTGAAAATGAGGTTTCGGATTCCTCTTAGGTTTCAATGTTGAAAATTGATAGTTTCTATCGTCTTATTGACTAAAACTAAACGGTCACAATATTATTTCCGACCATAGGTTGAAATCGACGAAATTGTCGACCATAGGCACAGAGGAAAACGTATAATAAAAATACACAAAGATAGCTAACCACTTATGTATAGTCAAATGTAATTTTCTTCTTAGGATCATGTTAGGGGTTCCAAGTGTAATTCCAACTTTTGATTCGCATTCATTAGAGGTCGAAGTCACACTTAAGAGATCCCTAAGCTTAATTATTCACCATTTTTAATTTGTGTTACATAGTGGGGAGAAGCTATCATTAGAGGTTGGTTGGTCTTTGTTTTCTACTTTAGCTTTTCTTGTGTTTGTGTGAATGTGAGGACATTCAAATGGTGTGGCAGAAAGATAAATAAGAGTTTGGTTGTTTGTAATCTCTCACGATTATACTTTGTATGTAGGATTGACAATGCAAGCAATGGTGGGTCTTTGCCTTTTAAACTCCGTAACTATTATTCTCTTTGAGCTAATTGAGCTAACTAGTTTTTCCGTGTTGTTAATGTAGGCCCGTGTCTAGGTTTTCTGTTGTGGTATTCGTTTCTAAGGACCCGTTTGGTATATGGAATTCAAACTATGGAATTGGAATTGAGGACTTCAATTCCAATTCTAGTGTTTGGTAGCACAAAAATTATAAAGATTTGGAATTGATAGTTCAAAAAATGAAGTGAAATTTACAAAATTCAATTCTATGAAATTGAAGCCCATGGAATTACAATTCCAATTCAATTCTAATTCCACCAATTCCTTGTACCAAACGGACCCTAAATGTTTGATATTCCTTGATTATTTGGTTATTCTGTTATTCTTGTTTATATGAGAGCAGTGGCAATGGGCATAACGCCCACCCACGTTATGCTCCGTTTGACGCCCGGGGGCGTTAAACACCGCCTCCCTCCCTCGTTATCGGGGCGTTAAAACTCCCGCGTCAAAGTTTTGACACAATTTGGAGCCGTTATCACGCCTTTTTTCTCCCTCTTTTCTTCTCTATAAATTAAATTAATTTTTTAAAAAAAATTCAACACAAATACAAATTTTCTCTCTATCTATCATCTTTTTTAAAAAATTATTATTCGAGTATTTTTTTAATTTTTTCATGAATGTAATTTTTTATTTAATGAATGTAATTTTTTATAATGAATGCAATTTTTTAATGAACTATTCTCGTTTCAATTGTTTTAAGTAATTAAATATTTAAATTTAATTAATTTAATTTTAGAATATGTGTATTTAAAATGTAAAAAATGAAGGTTTGAAGCCCCCATTTGAAACTCCGGAGCTTCAAAACCATTTCCACTGAAACTGTGAGTTAAGTTAAAGCTGATGTGGCAGAGAGAGAAGGTTTGAAACCCCAGGACTTCATGGGTATTTCCAGTGCCCTGATCATTTAGTTAGTTAAAAAACAATGGGCCAACAACACTAGTAGAAAATCATAGTAAAAATGCTAGCTAGAAAGCTTACTAATTCCATTAACCAACTGAGAAATTAATTAGGAGAAAGATTAAGAGGGTGTTTGCCAGTGTGGTAGATTATTGAAAAAGGAAAAATTTTAAGTCGAAGTGGAAAGCTGATATTTTGAGCTTTGCTGAAAAGCACTTCTAGAGCCCATTTTGAACTACAGAAGTCATATTCTCTAAGCAAAAACAGATTGGCAAACACGACAAACATTATTTTAGTGAAGCAAGAGCTCATAAGCAGTTTTTAAACGCAACCCCAACCTTATAAGAGGGTGTTTGAGAATGAATAACTTGTAGATAAAGTAATTTTCACAAAATCTGAAAGCAAAAACACCTCATACCTGCTTTTTTGAAACGGTATTTTATTTACAAAATAATGGTGGTGAAAAGTAGAAGCTAACACGCCAAACAGAATAAAACCACTTTCACTCAAAGCAAAAACTAAATTATTAAAAGCAACAAACTGCTAAACATATATAATAGAACATGTGATAGTGGTAGATTAAAAACAATTAGAATCAATATACGAATGAAAGGAATTCACTTGTATGGCTCCCTCTATCTTTTTCGTTCAACTATATCGGTCTACGTATGTACGAATCATAATATTTTGTTCACTTTTTCAAAAAGATAACAAAAATGGAGAGAGGACTCGTCAAAGAACTATTGAACTATCTTCGTCCATTAGTATTTGTCTAGTTTTGATTATTTTTAGGTCAATTGTGTTCAACTTTTGTCTTAAAATTAAATGAAATATATAATGTATATTAATTACATAAAGTAATATTTTAAAAATATTTGATATAATAAATCTAATAAAACTATTTTTGTATTAATATCTAGTATCATTTTTATTTAATTTGAGGTCAAAGTTTATCAATTTTGATTGAAAAAAATCAAAAGTGGACAAATATTCAAGAATTGAGGGAGTATGGAATAAAACTTTCAAAAACGTTGAATTTAACCCTCATCCTTCACTATTCCAAAATGAGGGACCAAGTAAACAGATTGCACTCCGAATTCAAATTTCATAGTCAACTCAATTTATTCCTCTTTATATATTATATTAGACGACATTTTCAATTACCACCTACAAAAATTTAAAAAGTTTAATTTATTTATTCTTTTCTTCTTAAACTAAAATTTCATCCGAGTCAATAATATATAACACTAAAAAAATCACTTCTTGACCAAATACTCCCTCGGTCTCATGTCTTTCCTAGAAGGGAGTAAATAATAATCAATATTCCATTAAGGATAGTTAACAATAATTAATATTCAATTTCTTATTTTCTCTATTATTCCTAATACTTCTTAAGTTTTTATTTTGACTTATGTGGTCAACATTTTCTAAATTCTGATTATAAATTACAGAAAAACATAATAAATTCTGATATAAATTTACAATAAAATTGAGCTATAGAAAATAAAATAACCATTGCATTATGTCCAATTTCATGACATAAGATAAGATTTTTTTTTATTATAGAAATTTTTTATTTTTTCGTTAATAATACTTCTTCGATGTAAGAATAAAAATTAAATTGTGTTGAGTGTGAAGCCAGGAAGATAGGTGGAAGCTAACAGGAAATTGGCATGAAGCTACCTAGAAGCTTACGGCTTAATCATTGTCTCCCTAACTAATCTCTATTTAAGAGATGCTAATGTGCTTGTAATGGTGTGCAACAAAAATAATAAAATCCTCCTAGTTGCCTCGTGTGGACGTAGGTTGCAGTTGGCGGCCGAACCACGTTAAATCCTGTGTCATTTATTTTTCTGCAGTTGATTCGTGATTGTGTGTTGTTTCCGCGTGCGTTTATTCCCAACAAGTGGTATCGGAGCGTTGGTTCGTTAAGACACCGAAAATCCGATCAGCAGAAACTAATCAGAGGAGTGTCACCTGGGTTCTTTGGAGAAGAACTGTGTGCAGCAGCACGAGCCGGAGTGAGGGCCGCTGCCGCCGGAGCACCACCATCCCCGTTGATTCCCACGGAGCACTACCGCGCTTGAATCGGAGAGCCGCAGCAGGAAGTAAGTCCCGTGAGACTCACCGCTGCCGCCTTCCATCGAGCAGAACCAGACCGCCGACGTTGCTGGTTCGAGGGGGATCGCAGCAAGCGAAGGAGTTGCTGCCGCCGTCACCCCGCCGTTCAGATCGCGCCGCCGCGTTGAAGAGCCGTCGCTGTTATGAAGGGCCGCAACCGGATCTGAAGAGTGAACCACATCCGCTGGTTCGGAGTTGTGCAGTAGAAGAGAAGCCGTTAGTTCGGGGGAGATCTGCGCAGGTGTTCGCCACCATCAGCGAGCCGCCGCTGCATCCCTTCTAGCGCCGTTGTCGACCTCTTGGATTGCGAGGCCGTGCAGAAGGCAGTCCAGCCGCAGAGCCGCCGCCAGGTTGAGAAGCCGTTTCAGATTGCGCCACCGCCAGGTTGAGAAGCCGTTTCAGATTGCGCTGCCGCCGTCAGATCAGATCGTCGCCGCCGTCAGGAACCGTCCGTCGAGATCGCAGCTGCGAGCCGTCACCGCCATCCAGACTTTGAGCTGCCGCCGTCCATTGCCGCCGCGCAGAGACCGCTGCCATCTTCTCCTGCTTGACCAATTGAAGCCTCCGATCCAAGGAGCTAAAATTTTGGGGGGCAGGTGCGAAGAAAAAAAAAGGGCCGGCCGGTTGCAAAAAGAGAAAAGGCAGTGGTCACTGGTCAGCCTTTCTCCATTGTTTTTGGGCCGTAGCATTTTTTTTGGTAGGTTGGTTTTGGGCTTGATTGATTAAAGTGGTGGACCTGTTTTTCTGACTAGAAAAAAAATACCAAGATCTGAAATTAGTTGTACCGGGTATTTCGTCTAGTTGTTTGAGATGGCAGAAGACGGGAAGTTTCGAATTGAGAAGTTCGATGGTACAGATTTCAGTTGGTGGAAAATGCAAATTGAAGATTTGCTGGTTCAGAAAGATTTGGACGTGGTATTGGGTGACAAGCCAGAAAAGATGTCGGATGCAGATTGGGCAGGTTTGGATCGGAAAGCTATGTCCGTGATCCGTCTCTCATTGACCAAGAATGTTGCGTTCAACATTCTGAAGGAGAAGACAGCGAAGGGAATTATGGACGCGCTGTCTAACATGTACGAGAAGCCATCTGCAGCGAACAAAGTTTTTCTGATAAGAGAGCTAGTGAACACAAGGATGAAAAATGGCACTTCAGTTACCGAGCATATCAACAAGTTGAATTCGATCTTAGCCAGACTTTTGTCAGTGGGCATTAAGTTCGATGATGAAGTTCAAACTTTACTACTGTTATCGTCATTGCCTGACACTTGGTCCGGAACTGTTACAGCAGTTACCAGTTCAGCGGGACCTGACAGATTCACTTTTGAGAAGATTCGTGACCTCGTTCTTGGCGAAGATGTCAGAAGAAGGAGTTCTGGTGAGTCTTCGGAAGAATCACTAAATATCGTCAGATGTAGAGGAAATAACAGAGGTAGTGGGAGCAAGAACAAACGAAGGAGTCGATCGAAGACTCGGGATAGCTCAGGCGTAACATGCTGGAAGTGCAAGGAGGTGGGGCATTTCAGGAATCAGTGCCCGAAAGAGGATAAGCAAGTGAACATTGCTAGAGGCTCCGCGAGCGACGAGGATTTGTTTATCTGTTGTGCGGAGAGCAGTGTAGATTCCTGGGTCATGGATTCTAGTGCTTCATTTCATGCTACCCACAGCGGTGAAGCATTGCAGAATCTAGTTGTTGGGGACTTTGGAAAGGTACGACTAGCAGACGACGGAGCTCTTGATGTGACGGGCATGGGTGACATAGTGCTGAAGACCCCTGTCGGTTTCTGGACTTTAAAGGATGTCAGAGTGGTTCCAGCCTTGAAGAAAAGTTTGATTTCTGTTAGGCANTTGGACGAACAGGGACACGAGGTGAAGTTCGGAAATGGGCAGTGGAAGGTCGTGAAGGGAAATCTTGTCATGGCCCGTGGAAGGAAGAGAGGTTCGTTGTATATGGTCGAGTTACCATCTGAGGGAGTGACCGTCCCAATTCAGAAGAAAAACGAAGTCCGGTTCACAGAGTCTCGTGGGCAGAAGAAGGTTTTCTATGCAAGAAAGAAACCCAGAGCCACAGGTCAGACTCAGGATGAACGAGCGAGGAAAGGTTCAATGAGGCCAGTCAGAGGTATCTGTGGCAGTGGGAGCACAGGTTTTACTTCAGCCAAGGTTCCTATAAGACATTGGGTCCAGAGAACCAGTATTCCAGCTGTTGATATATCTCCAGAAAATTTCTTGCTCAGTATGGAGATTGTTTGTTCTCAGGATGTTCCAGGATCCGGCAGTGCGTGTGTGCAGTGGGAGCCGGTAGGGACCGAGGATGAGTCAAAGGCAGTTCAAGCCATGACTGATGGGTTCAAACTCAGGAGAGTTTCAACAGAGTCTTCTCGATGATCAAGAAGGCTGGTGGCAACTAGAGGCGGTGGAATTTTGAGTTCCGTTATCAGATTACAGAAGTACATGTGCACAGTTGAAGCGCAGGTGAACATTGTTCCGTGGCTTCAAGTGGGAGATTGTTGAGTGTGAAGCCAGGAAGCTAGGTGGAAGCTAACAGGAAATTGGCAGGAAGCTACCTAGAAGCTTACGGCTTAATCATTGTCTCCCTAACTAATCTCTATTTAAGAGATGATAATGTGCTTGTAATGGTGTGCAACAAAAATAATAAAATCTTCCTAGTTGCCCCGTGTGGACGTAGGTTGCAGTTGGCGGCCGAACCACGTTAAATCCTGTGTCATTTATTTTTCTGCAGTTGATTCGTGATTGTGTGTTGTTTCCGCGTGCGTTTATTCCCAACAAATTGCAAGAACAAGTACATTTATTTGTTTGTACATATCCAAAAGTTGCATAAATATATATTAAAATTAGATGTGAATGTTTACAAGTTATAGGGAATATATAATTCTAATCAAATATACAAAACAATATATAGGTACTTCTTGGTGTACGGTATTCAACATTCTTTTTTCTAACGACAACTATAAATTGAACCAAAATCTTATATTTTTTTATTTTACAAAAATATTGTAGATCAAACCAAATGACACATTGAGCATTTCTTGTTTCTTTTTTCTAGGAAGTTAAAGAAATAAGACATGTTCTTTTCAGTTGAAAAAGTTAACTTCTAATTTTTTCTAATTTTTTCAATTTTTTCAACAACGAGTTAAATAAATATTTATGAATATACAATAGCATTATACATCCAATTTTTTAACATACCACATCAAATAGGTGAATTGTGTTTTATTATCTACTCCCTCCATCCCTTAATATATTACAATTTTTTTCTCTCTCTAACTTTTGTTTGTTTACGCAATTTCATTAAGTATTTGATAAAATAAAATATTATTGTCGCCTCTTGTTTTGTAGAATTTTTGACACAATTTTTTAATATGTAATTTTTATATATTATTGATATACCAATTTGTAGATAAAATGATTTCAAAAAATAAATTTTTTTACTCAGTAACCCACAATTTGTAATCAAATTGCGGAGGGAAGGAATATATTAAAACCTAGTTCTTTTAAATCTTTTTGATTTATTAATACCGTTAGGACTTACCGACTTAATAACTGAGAAGGTATATGGTACATCCGGATGTACGTAGAAATATGTACATCCGGGTAGTACTCATTGTGAAGTAAAGTAGTATTTATTCTCGCACAAACATAATTATTCATTTTGAAAATGTGATACTTCTTCTAAAATAACGTAGTACTCATTCTAAAATAATGTAGTGCTCATATTCACACATTTATTCAATACAATTATAATATTTATTCACAAATAACGCAGTGTTCATTCTGAATAAAAATAGTACTCATTCTCAAATAACTTAATGTTCATTCTAAAATAAAACACATATCATGAATAACTTTTTTCTCTTCAACTAGGGTTTCATCCCAGCATCTCCTCCATCTACAGCACTGCGGCTTTCTTTCGCGACCCGACCCGCTTTAACGCCGCCGCCACCTTCCTTCTCCATCGTTTCTCCAGATTTTCGCCACCATCCCTCGTCGTCATCTTCGCTATTCCATCGTCTTCCGTCTTCGCTGCTTCTTGTCATCATTGCCGCCACCTTCCGTCTTTCTTCTCCGGTGGCCCGACCCGATTGACAAATAGAGGAGACGCAGTAATTTAGGCGGCTTCCGTTCCATCTCATTCCTTCTTTAATTAGCGGGTTGTACTTAAAATTAGGTACAACCTAAAGTACTCTATTATTTGCGCTTAATAACTAGTGGGCGGCTACGTGCCAATTTCCTACTTCGTATCGGATTGTAAAACAGTGTAGATTTATTGACTTGTTCCTCACAAAAGAAAAAATACTAATGGTCAATCGTCATCGTCATCATTCCCCTCTCGGAACAGGAAAATCCTCTCTCTAAAACCTCCTCCTCCTTCTTCTTCTTCTGAAAAAGAGAGAGAGAGAAAGCAACCACGACGAAAGATAGAGAAACAGAACGAAGAAGAGGAATGTGTCCGCTCCGAATCATTCTCATCTTCCTCTCTGCAACACTCGCCGGATTCTTCGTGCTTCGCAACATCAAATCGCAGCCTGATGCCGCCGAAGACAACCCCGTCGATGACGACTCTCCGGTCAAATCTCCCTCCGGATCATCCTCCCCGTGTCCCGCCCCTATTAGCTCCAAGGTATAACCGATTTCGTCTCCTTTCCTTTCAATTCCCCCAACACCTAATGTTTATGTGCGATTTTTTTCTTAATCTGAAATTTATGCTGAATGATTCGCGGATGTGTGTCAATTTCAGGCTTGCTTTGTGATCAGGGAAGGATTTTGGACTTTTCTGGACATGGCGAGCGGCAAATATCTCTGGAGGCATTTGGTTTCTTCTGCAAATCCGAAGCGCACCGACTGATCCCTGGTAATGAATTGTAAGAGATTTAGCCTTCCAGTATGAATATCTGTTGTAATTTTCTCTTTTACATGGATCCTGCTTTGTTTTCGAGTGTTGATTCGCAGGATTATTGTATGTGTACAAGTAATATATGTGTAGAATTGTGGAGTTACTTGGTCTGAAAACTCGAAGATCCTTCTGTTCTAATGGGAGATTATACTTCTTAAATGAATAAACCATTCGTGTATTAGTGCACTTGAATTTTACCTGGCTTTTTACACCAGCACCTATGAATGAAAATAACCTATGCAGAGAAATTGAAAACTGGTGATGCTTAGGATTTTAGATTTGTTTATTATTGCTGTAAAACAGATAAGATCTGTGCATAAACATCTGTCTTGTCGGTAATTACTCTAGCCTTCACGTTCGTAGAAGTAAAAACGCCGCAGATGATCTGTATTATGCTGTCTATTTTCTCTCCTGTTTGAAGTAGTTTGAACCATGATAATTGCCTTGTCTGTCTTGCTTTCTCATAGTTGGTAGTTTCGTTTTTAGTATGTTTTGGACATTAAGGTATATCAGGATTGCCTAAACATCTTACATGGAAAGAGTGTATACGGTGGGTATATCAGGAGAATTGAAGATCATTGATGCTTGTTCATGCAAAGATGATTATTACTTGTATTGCACAGAGTTATTCAAATTATAGATATTTAGATTATAGATTTTAACAAGTTTTGTAAAGGTTATTAATTTCAACCTCCCGTTTTTTTGCTAGACAACTGAAGCAATATTTGTATCCGTGTCTCTGTACATAACATTTAATTACTTACCATAGCTGGAGAAAAAGCAAAACGAAAATACCGGAATAACTTTTACTGGCCAAATTTAACACACTTTAGGTTAAATTCATGAAATGTCATTCAAACAAGGGGATACATATTTTCTACTAGTTGCTATGAATATGTTTGCGAGGTGTGCTTTTGTTGCTTCGAATGTGCTTTGATTTGGTCTGGGATCACTGCCAACCTTCCATTGCTAAATTTGTGAGTTAATAAATCACATTATGTTACTCTAATTTTTTTGTCACACTAGTAGAGTGATGTCTTTATTTCCCTGCCCCAAAGGTCGGCCTTAGTGTATGTTATCTGTATGTAACTTTGTGCCATTCTCACACGCATGAATGTGTGTGCGGGCGCATCCGGTGCTCCAAAGGCTGTCATAGAGAGAGTCCAAGTCAATCCGTTGATGCTTAAAAATTGATTCCATGCTGGGTGAATTATATGCTTGAGTTTCATTTAGTATTCAATTGTTACTAGGATGAAAAGTGTCATAAATTGCAAAGACTGGATTTTTGTGCTACCTTATTTTTAAGGTTTTTGATCAGTTATGTATGTAGGATGAGTTGAATCTGGGTTTTCTTATTGGGTTTAAATCTTAATTGCCTGTTATATTACTAACCCATATGTTTGCTGGAGTACTGATTATTCGCTTAAGACCGTGTCCCTGTTTGCTAACCGGCTATCGGCTGTTTGTACTAGTTGTTTGAGAAGGTTTCGATGTCCATACAAAAGTATTGGAACTAAGAAACCTATATGACATCAAACGAATTTGGCTCCTAACTTGATAACATATCTTACATTATAATAGAAATTTGACATATGCTATGCAAACATATCTTAACTGCAAACACATTAAGATGAGTTTGTTTTTCCTGTATTATATTGGTTAATATATGGAGTAACCAACACGAAAAGAATCTCTAGTGCGAGGAATACTACTTAAGAACATGGTTAATATTTAAATATTCCGTACAGTAGTTGTTCTATTCCAGGCAATTTTGTTTGTTAATACAGTACTTGGAAAGTGTTTGTAGTAATTTGTGGAAAAATAAATACTGAGTTTATTGGGAGTTTGGGACTATAGTTGTAAATGAAACGAATCATTTTGACTTTGATTTGTCTTTGAAGATGTTGATTCGAGTTTGTGTATTTCAAATACATGTACAATTGCAAGGGCATTAATGTTTATTAGATATACTATAATGTATGGAGTAGGTTAAAACGTCGAAAAACGATCTTTGATCCATCATTATGGCTTGTACTGATTTGTCAATTTTGTACTATTTGTTAGACTGCAACGTGTACAAATAAAAATAAATAATAGTAAAACAGAAACAATAAATAAATAAAACTTGTACCTAAAAAAGGAAGCCATCGTCCATTCAAAAAAGAAAAAACAAAGCCACCGTGAAGAAAAAAAAGCAAGAAAAATGAGGCCTATGGACGCCGACGCTGCATACGAGGCATGCGCCGGCTACTTCAGCTATGGACGGTAGATAGACGTCGCATTAGCGTATAGAATATTTCAAAAAATGCTAGGGGTATATCAAATAATGAGACGTTGCATTTGTACATATTTTTTGAAAAAGCGTTATGAATAATTAGTAAAATACTGAGAAGAAATATTGATCTCATTTAAAATTTGTTTGACATTTTGATTCAAATTCATATTTAGAAAATTAAATAAATACGTATTCAAATAGTCAAGTATTTAATTTTGATTAAGTCTGTTTACGATCCTAATCAAGAATTCGAATTATTAGTACAACCATTAAAGGGAAAAAGAGAAAGTATCCAGTTGAAAATTACAAATAAGTACTAGTAGGATTTTGTTTTTCTTTTTTGAGATTGTATACTCGGACTTTCTTTGAAAATAATATTTTCGATTTGTGTTTGACAATTTTTTCAAGACGTAAAGGTTAAC